ATAGCTCGGATCGAGCCCTCCGTACTGCTCCCATGGCCTACAAGTGTGCATGTTGGAAAATACACGAAGAGAGAAAGAAGAGGATGAAAACAAGATGCAAGATGAAGAACACAATAGAAAATATATTTAAATTTGAAATATGTATAAACACTTTTTAAAAATAATATTTATACTCTCTTTTTAATAAGATTGCTATGAATTTGATGCAAATAATTTTAGTAGATATGTTAATCCTTTAGAAGATCTATATTTAGCAAACAATAAAGAATCTTCAAGGAAAAATTAGAGAATGTTTAATTCAATCATTTAGAAAGTTATCAAGAAAAAAGAAGGATGTGGAGATATTTTTCATCATTTACTCTCAAATATCTATTTATAGATATTTTTACAAAAGATACAACATTTGAAAAATAACTATCAAAATAACTACAAAAGAAATCAACTTTTCAAATAACTCTTTAAAAAAACATATATTTTTTAATTTGAACAATTTATAACAATCTCCCACTTGTTCAAATTTAAATTTTTTTCTCCAAATGATTAAATAGTATTTATAAATAAAATAAAATATATCATTCGATTTGAGTATTACCTTTTACTGTAAGCATCACAAAGTGAAGTTAAAATTTTAAATAGCATAAAAGCTTTGAATTTATTACTAATAATGATAACATCGGTGATACCACACACATAAATATAATATTATTGTATTCCTCATAAATTCTCGCTCAGTCCTAATATGGTCTTGGGCTCATTCGAGTTCATAAACTTTTATGAGAGAAACTCCAACTCTCAATCGCCACCACTTCTAAGTTCATATATATAAAGTTCTTATACTATCTTTGTCATTTTTTAAGATACTTGTCCTAACTTGACTGAACTTCATTAAGAGTATAATTAACTCAACCCTCATTCGGTGACAACCAGTACTTTAACATCTTTAGATGGGACTAGTAAAATATTTTAAAGTGCTAAACCACTCCACATGTCAATGACTTGTTCTTACCCTTTGAACTATTTATTTCTCATTTTATAATATTGAGTAGGGTTGCTATGGATCTTTTATTTAAGAAGTTTTAGCCCCATCCATTTTGATGTTGATCTTACAACTTCTCTTGTAAAAGGTTTGGTAAATAGATCAGCCAAATTTTTACTTGTTTTCATAAATGTGAGTGAAATAATCCCACTCTTGATTAATTTTCTTATATAATCAGGTCTAAAACTTATATGTCTTGACTTTCCATTATATATTTCAGAGCTAAAGTGACTTAATTATCACAAATTATAGAAATTGAGTTCATACTATTAAAAGTCAATAAAATTTCTAATAGAAAGTCCCTCAACCATTCAGCCTCCTTTCCTGCTTCTACTAGAGTAACAAATTCTGATTACATAGTTGAGTGAGTTATACATATTTGTTTCTTGGTCTTGTAAGAAACACTATTACCTCCCGAGGTGAAAACCTAATAAATTTATTATCTTCGAAATTCAATATCCAACTTGTATTAATATCTTTCTAAAATAGTAGGAAATTTTGAGTATTGTAGACCATAATCTTTGGTCCATTTAAGCTACTTAAGAACTTTTTCAATAGCCTTCCAATGCTCTATATTTGGATTGCTAGTAAATTTACTTAATTTACTAACTGCAAATGTTATATCAGGTCTTGTGCACTGCGTTGCATACATAAGACTTCCTATAACACTTGAATATTCTAATTGAGTCACTGTTCTTCTAATATTCTTAACTAATTTGATGTTTGGGTTAGACGGGATATTTGCTTATTTGATTTTTAAATGATTGAATTTCTTCAATACTTTTTGTATGTAATGAATTTGACTCAAAACATATCCCTCACTATTTTTTTTTACATTGATACCCAGTATGATATTAACTTGCCTAAGATCTTTCATCTTAAATGTTGAAGATAGAAACCTCTATGTTTTTACAACACCTTTCATGTCGTTGCTCACTATTAGTATATCATTAATATAAAAGCAAACCATCACCCTATAGTCATCATAAGTTTTAAGATAAATATATTTATCTACAACATTGTGAACAAATCAATTAGAATGAATTATTGCTCATGCCATTATTTTGAAGTACGCTTTTGTATTACCAAAACAGTTCTCACTCTTATCTCTCATCCTCGATTCCTCCTCGATTCAAAGATATTTTTGAATTTGCTCCAAAATGATATTCTTCGAGTCATGCAAAATCTTCTTCCTATATCATTTCCAAGATGAAGGCAACTTGACTATTATAGTGCCTACTTGAAAATGTTCTGAAAGTTTGATTTTTTTCAGTCTTCAATTGATTAATAATGATATGCAACTCATGCACTTGTGCTAAGATTGGCTTATCATGTAATCAAAATATTTAAAACTTAAAATTTTCTTTATACCTTCCTCATCGACATGATACTTGAATTCCAAAGCATTCCAAATTACTTTTGCAGATAGTTTTATTGTATAAAGAATATGTCCTCTATATATAACTCTATCTTTATTTTTCTTCTTTTGTTCAGCATTGACTTCATAGTTGTTATTATCGGTTTGATTAGGAATTGATTGATGATTTGGATTAAGCCTATAGAAGATCTTCAAAGCAGTCAATATAAACTTTATCTTGTCTTGCCAATGGGTAAAATTCATTCTATCAAAATGATCCAAACGAATAAAATTTTGATTCAATAATTTGATGATATTTGTGGCCTCCGTGATAAATTTGTATAAACTCACAAAATATCATTTTTTGATTATTGAAAAATATAACAAAGAGTATGAAAATATTATGGAAACAAATAACACTATAGGAAATATATTTAAACATTATGAAAATAGTTTTTGTAAGATCAAAGACACCATAGGAAATATATTTAGGCTTGAAACATGTATAAATATTTTTCTAAAAATGATATTTATACCATTTTCTCAACAATATTGCTCTGGGTTTGATGCAAATAGTTTTAGTAGATATAACAAACCTTTAGAAGATCTGTATTGAACAACTAATAAAAAATCTTTTAAAAAAAATAAAGAATGTCTAATTCAATCGGAGAGTTATCAAGAAAGAAGAAAAAAAATATGAAAGATATGTTTATCATGATTTACTCTCGAATACCTATTTATAGATATTTTCATAAAAGATATCATCTTTAAAAAATAATTATCAAAATAACTACAAACGAAATCACCTTTTCAAATAACTCTTTTGAAAAGATTTTTTTTTTTAATTTGAACAATTTATAACAGTGCACCAGCAAGTCAGTCGTCTTAATAATTTGATGAGCTTATTATTATTAATTTAGATTTAAATATTCTAAGCTAGTAATTTGAAGTTAATCGATCGAATAGTAAAAATTGATCTCAAAATTTAATATTAGTATACGATGAGAAGCTCCTTAGCATAGTCGACAATCAGGCCATATCTATAAGACATAGCCCAGTTTGATGAGAGGCTTATCTACATATATATTCGACATTTTGACCCAATAAAATCTCTTTATAAGAGTCTGTTGACTATATTATTGTTAACTTAGATTTTAATATTTTATGTCAGGTTTAAAGCTAATAAAGTTAAGTATATTCATCACCATAAAAATATATTCAAAGGACCTAATACAATAAAATATTTCATTTACTCGTGATTCATCCCTATTATATATAAATTATTTCCTTTACTTATGATACATCCCTTTATATATATATATATATATATATGAAACATTTAACATGACGAAAGTGTCTTATTTTAAAACATTTGACTTTTAATTTTTTTTCGATCACCGAAAAAAATGAGAATAAAGTATCGTGTTCTAGCATTAAGAAACCCTTATCTCGAAGCACAAAGTAAACACAAAACCCTATACAAATAAATTATTTATCATAATAAAAAATAAAAATATTGATTTATTATCGAACACATTATCGACCTACTTTTTTACGAGAATGAATTAAAATAAGATACAAATTTGCTGGATATTAGGTGCATCAATGCTATATTTACCTCACATAAAACTCTAAAACTTGATGAAGTATTTATTTTTGATGATGAGCTATCATATCTAGTCCAACTCAAAATTTCAATGCAATCGATCAACATCTAAAGGAAATACTTGAAAGCACAGAAAATGGTGGACTATTTGCCACCTTAAACCCAATCAGGAAGAGCTCCTAATTTCCTCTTGATCAACATATTAGATTAATCTAAACAAAGCTACATTTCAGTTTAGTAGCCTAATTTGACATGATTTCATTTGAGGGACAGTTTGGTCATTTCATTTAGTCTTGTCGTTGGAGGCGCCGCCAACACTCCGCACGCTTGCGTTCGCAAAGGGGCCTCATCGTGAAACGTGCCATAACTTTTCATTTATTTACCGAAGGTGCCATCTATGATGGACAGCCATTTCAGTTAGGCTTGCCTTTGGAGGCGCTGCTGACGCTCCTCCGCACCCAACGTTCGCAAAAGCGTCGGGTTGTGAAACATGCCATAATGTGTCGTTTATTTACAGAAGGTGCCATCTATGATAGGAAGCCAGCGGTGCACGCAGGGGTTTATTTGTTATTTTTCTGAAGGACAAGGGTTTTTAGTTTTCGATGCTCTTTTGAAAGGTTGGAGGTCAGAGCGTGCGTTGACTGGGTCCGGAAATTTGAATGTTTGGCGGAGCAAACCCTAATTCTTTGCTTGGAAGGGAGCGATTCGGACCCCCTGACGCTCCTCCATGGACGTTAAAAGGGAGGTTGGATCTTGGATTTTTGGATCGCAGCCACTTCTTTCCTCTTGTCATCGTTCTTGAAGAGGATTCAGCATCAGGTTCTGATCGGGTACTATGCCCCTGAACTGCTGAAGTGCTGTGTTTTTTCTGCTTCATCCTGATCTTTATGGACAAAGGTCTTTTTTTGACTTCAGAATTGTAGGATAGAACTCTGTTTCTTACGGTTTTAGATCGGGGGAGTTTAGCTTCTGGTGTTGTATATCCGTAGATCAGGGGTGGGGGGGGTGGGGGTTTCGATCATGTTTTCAGCTAGCGTAATGGTCAATCGGAGCTCGCTGGAGATATTTCTGGATGAGATCAGGCAGAGGGATGAGCGGCCTAAGGATCTGCCACCCGCTTTGCCTCTCCGGCCAACCTCCAGGGGACGCCTGCCCAGTTGGAGAAGGCCATTGCCCGTGCACCTTAATCTCGAAAGAGGTGCACCCAGAAGCTTGTTGAGCAACTCCGTGGAAGGCGAAGACGAGGAAGACGAACAGACACGAAAGAATGAGAGGGATGTGGAGCAACTGGCAGAATCGCCATGCCTCAAAACCCCAGACCTGGTGAGGTATGAAAAGAGAGTGCAGATCGATGATGGGTCAGATTCACCTGCTTTCTCCTTGCCGCCAGCAGTTGGTGGTGTCATCAAGTATTCCATGAATGAGGTAATAATCAATTTACTAATAGTTCTTAACTTGCATACTTGATTACAGTATTCTGTGCAAATTTTGCCTGGTGAGCCAACTTATAGTCAATTTACATCCTCGCAGGCAAATTTTCAAGCTCTTAAAATGATTTGAAAAGATTCAACTTGTGTTTTTTGTTTTTAAGATGCAGTTTGACTTATCCCTGCAATTCCAATCACATTGACCGAAAACTTTATATTGTTACATAAACTCTTCGGCTGCTATATAATTAAATATATAATGTGGTTTGTACTGAAGAAATTTTTGTTCCCTGAGGTTCTCACTGTGAAAGAAAAACTTATTTAGACATAGCTCCATGTAATTTGGAACATATGACCAAATATTTTATGTGTTTCGGAACTTTCCTTTCTTCATATTTATCGTCAGTGAACGTTTGTTTATCGCATTCTATCGAGCCAAATAGATTGTAGATTATTAGCGAGTGAACTTGGATGTAATGCACAGACAGGATGTATGCATACTTAATAAAACTTGACACAAATCACATAATCGAACATGGTATGTACTCCTATTAAATTAGTTTTAATTTTGTGCAGGAAATCTTGTCTGCAATTAGTCATTCTCTGAAAATTGACATTGAATTTTAAGACATCTTGTTCTTCTGATTAATTCTGGGTTCCTTTATCAGAGATCGAATTTTAAGACATCTTGTTCTTCTGATTAATTCTGGGTTCCTTTATCGGAGATCCTTTTTTCTTCTGGCATCTTTAGCTTTCGGCTTTACCTTTTACATTATTTTCACAGGTTTCCGGAATGGAAGACGATAGAAATCAGACTTCGCAGGGAATTATCTGGGTTCAAAAAAGCTTTCGTGGTTTCCGAGCTTGTTCTTACTATCAACAGCTGAAGAAAGGAGCAACCGTGTTGCAATCATGTACGTGCATAGTGACAGAAGAACTTCTGGGTTTTGTTTTCGAGGAGTCTTATGTATTTTTAAGCAGTCTCGTGTCACATTAGATAATCGAGTAATATGAAAATACTATATCTACACTTATCTCCTCTAAGATATTCAAATTAAAGTATTTGGTGTTTTTTTTTATAGTTAAATTGGATCTTAGAGCAATGTTCCTTTCTTTTGTGTTGAAAACAGACACCATTTTTGTGTCTTGAAAAAAGCTCCACTGACCTTAAATGTTTTATTGGATGCTTGTGTCGTCGACAGTCGTACGAGGTGAAAGCACAAGGCATAATTTTGAGGTCTTGAAGAAGAGATGGAGGGCAGCTATACTTATCCAACAGCATTTGAGGCGGTGTTTTGCTAGGACTGTTTTTAATAACCAGCGGAAGGACATTATATTTTTGCAGTCTGGTAATTTATTCATAGATTTCAAGTGCATTATTTGTTCGTTGGCATTTGCTCCGACGTTGTATTTTGACTCATCCGCAGTTATCCGTGGTCGGCTGGCGAGGAACCATTTTACTGCTTTAAAGAAAATTGAGGTGTTAAAGTCTGGTCATACTTATTTGAAGAAAAGGGAGGTGTCAATGGTCAGTCATGTTCAACTAATCAAAGGAGGGTCAGCAAGGGATTCTCCAGAACTTGTGAAGGTATTTGTTCCATTTTTATAGCTTGTCACTGATTTCTAACAATGAAACTGTGTGTTCAAATAACAACTTGGCTGGATGTTCATTGTTGTTTCAAAAATTTCATCCCATAAATATCAACCTGGGTGACTTGGTTTCGACATGGGAATCGGCCCTGGTTTCCTTTTCTATTAATATTTCTCTTTAGTAAGTATCTAGAAGTGTAACTAGTAATAATGCCTCATGTTTTATCGAGATCGATTAAGCGGTATATTTTGATAAAGATCCAGAAATAGTAACTCATATTGTGCTCCCTGTTAAAAACTTTCAAGGTGCTTTATATTTAAGGGTTTAATTGGATGGATTTGACTTGCAGGACACTGAGAGTGAGCATCCTCAGTTGGACCCCTCTGTTTTAGCTCAATTTCAGAGTCAGGTGTGTAAGGCAGAAGCAGCACTGAGAGACAAAGAAGAGGAGAATGCTGTTCTGAAACAGCAGCTTCGAGAGTATGAGATGAGGTGGTCAGAATACGAGTCGAAAATGAAATCTATGGAAAGGACTTGGCAGAAACAATTGATCTCTTTGCAGGTCACTTTCTTTCTTACTATATTATGAACTGTGATGAAGGAAGTAGATGCTGTGAAGGTTCTAATTCGAAACTTTCCTGGATATGTTTCATGTTTAGTTTAAGCTTCCTTGTTAGACATAGTTGCAGATCATGATAAGTGTTTCTTCTAGACATAGTTGAAGCCTTGCAATGGAAGTATAAAGTCAGTTACATACATCATAGCCTCTCAAACCTTGTGAGAAGATGTGATCTACGAATTTCTCATGTGAATAACCATCTTTAATTGTCAATAGAAACCATGTAAACATTTGTCTATATTGTTTAACACATCAAATGAAAAAGATCATGAGCAGTAATAATGATTGCTGTACTCTTTATGCAGATGAACTTTGCTGGTGCAAGAAAAAGCTTTATTCTTGAAGAAATGACAAACCGGCCTCGACAGCAGATAGCAGCACGAATTAATCACCACTATGAAGCTGAAGATAAGACGCCAGCAGTCACAGTAGCCAAACCCGTCAATGCTTCTACTGTCATGCCTGTGAGAGACAATGATAGCACTCGTAATGGGGCGATCCAACTCACGATAGAGTTTGGTCAGCACAGGCAAGTCTTCCACGATGATGCTGGGGCACTGGTTGAAGGGAAATCAGAGCAATTGGGTGCCAGCATGAACCGTCGTAAACTTAAAGCTCGTTTTGCTTCATGGAGAAAATGGTTGTGCATAGCCAGTGCAAGATGATGCAAATGAAGTATACCAAGCAACTCTTCTTGGCATAGCAAGTGCCAGGATGGTGGTTTGAGGAGAAACCTGAATGCTGCTTATCTTCGAGGAAACCTCTTCCTTATTTGTTTGTCTCGTCTCTAGAACATCATCATCATCATATGTGTATGTTGCATGTATATATGCCTTGCTTTTCTTGATGTTCTTAGTGTGAAGAGATTGCTCCTGTACCCAAAATGGTGAGGTCAAATTATCAGAGGGTTAGGTAAGTGGACTAGAGAGAGAGAGAGAGAGAGAGAGAGAGAGAGAGAGAGAGATGTATATATTGCGACATAAAATTTTATACCAGATAAAATTGTGTTGTTGTTTATCCAATATTGACGGGAGCCCAATGCATTGGCTTTGATTTGCTGGTCGATGCTGCGACTCGACTTATGAGACTTGTAATCTATATGATCAAGATTCCAGACACGAAAATTAACTGCACTGGTAATAATCTCATGAGAAATATCATGATGCAATTCCCTTCTCATCTTCAAGTTTTGGTGGCTGGTTTCCGCAATCCGCCTGCAAATGATCCCCATGTCAGGCAAATCCAGCACCTCCTTTCTCCATGCAAACTAGGTTCCTGTCCTAGCATTCCTTGTTGCAGACCAAACAAACTTTGTGGACAGCTAAGAACTAATGGCAAACCTTCAAGCATAATAAAAAAAATTCTTGAAAAGATACTGAAACGGAAAAAAAAACGGCAAATCTTCTTCTGCAACATTAATTCAAACATACAAACTGAATGATAGAGTAAATAAAAAGAATAAACTCCTCTCTAGAGATCAAGCTTGACTAGATATCTAAAGATTACTAACACCAAAAAATTCACTATTAGTGAAAATTCCAACCAAAGTGATGGTACTTATATAGCATTCATTCAGTAGAAAAGAAAATCACACTTCTCAATGAAAAAAATCCATCATTATCTTTGAAATTTTCTCTTCTTTTTTTCCAATAATTCTAAAGAGACAAAGTGATATATTGCAAATAACAGCTGCTCCAATTTTGCACTTTAGCATGAAATTTCATCATGTGTAATCCCCTAGCTTATAAATCATTATATGATTTAGGAACTCTGCATTTTGTTTGAGTTAGGAGTCCATTGATAAAGAGTCTTGGAAAGCTTTAAGTCCAATCACAGAATCACACACTAAAATTTATCACATCAGAAAGAATGTGTAATGCATATGAAATGAAAAATAAGATTAATTTTGATTTTTTTATAACAAGCTCAGAAACCCAAGGGGCATATTAATGGATGAATATGAAACGAAAGGGATCTTAAAAATAGTATCGAGAAAGTTGATAGGGCCAACTTAATCCCACATCGGTTGAGGAGTGGGGGAGTAAAGGGCTCATAAGACAGCCGTGCCTCCCTTACCCTCAGAGTTGCCTTTCGGAAGGCTCCAATATCTTCGAAGGGACAAAACCGTGAGGGTTTCGATCACCCAAAGCAGACAATACCTGTCTACCACTGGGCTAGACGGGCAAACTCCTCCCGTTTAGAGGCGCCTTTTGGAGCTCTGTGGCTCCGAAAGGGCAAAACCGTGTGAGTTCGATCACACTCACCCAAAGCGGACAATCCCTCGCACCCCTATCAAAAGTGACTTATATTTAAAAAAACAAGAAAAATATTCAGAAACATTGCTACTCAATCTCTAACCAAAGAGCCAATATATGTTGTCTTCTGGCCGAAAAAAAACCTGAATTCTAATATTTATGCATTTCCAAATTCAAGTTACCAATCCCTAGCAATAAAAAAATAAATTTCCTTCATCGATATGTATTCTTTGAGATCTTTTACCATCAGAGCCAACACCTGACTACCGAATTAAGCTCTTAGAGGGAATCATTGCTGAGTCCAACAACAAAAATTTAAGCTGAAATCAGACAATATACAAACACTTAACCCAAAATATGCCACCAACTTGCATATTCTGGATGTATATTCTTCAAGATCAGCTACCAAGTTATCAAACTAGCAAGGGATCTTAAATAACTACCATTGACGGTATTCAATTGACAAATCCAGGTCAAGTCGACTAAATCACTCCGCATCAAAACGTTCAAAGAGTCATCTTTATATAGGCATCTTCAATCACATAACGAAACGGGGATTTGGAAGAGACGAACACACCTCTCGATGTCCTTCTTCTGGGTAAGGAGGCACTCAAGGATACACTCATTGCACAAGAGGTGCCCCTTCTGGCAGAAAAGAGGGTGGATGAGGTGCTTGATGCAGAGGCAACAAGGGTCAAAGGGCCCGATGGAGTCCCTGCCGAGCCGCTCCCGCTGCGTGCCGTATCCGAGCTTGAGCTTCTCCTCGTGGGTGAAGAATGCAAGGTAATTGTTGTTCTTCGAGTGCCGCTGCGGCATCTCTGTTCCGTCCCCGCCTTGATCGAACAAAAATACGCAAAACCAAAACCTAATCCAAACCCTAGATCACGGTGGAGAAGTACCGAGGGACGAGACAATAACGGCAACATATATATATATATAACGGAGTTCGTGTCGGTGTCGCATATATATAACGGTGTTGCTGCAAGGAGGTTGCCGCCTGTTGTCCCTCAAGTGGGTCCCAGGTGGGACCCGTTTCAGCCCTGCAGTGAGACCTCACAGGTAAAGTCGGTGGCAAATCGAAATGAGTGGGAAAGCATTGTTCATAGACACAGTTACGATTCTCGTTTCCCCTCTGGTTTGTCCCCCCCCAATTAATCAAGACGCGCGTTTCCCTTTCCGATAAGGATCGCTCGCCTCGAACGGACCGGTTCGATTCGAGAGGGTCGTCGCAAAACCCTAGCGCTATCGAGTCCCTTCTCTCGACAGGGTACATGGGGGTGCTATCCTGGTGGAAGGGGAAGGGTGCGTCTCCGTCGTCGGTGACGAAGGGCGACACTGGCAAGAAGCCAGAGGTTGCATCCGAGGAGGTACCGGGAATGAACGGGGCGGTGGACGTGCGGCGACCGGGAGACGTGACGGTGTTCGAGTTCGGCTCGGTGGCGGCGTCCGGCGACAGGATGACTCTCGCTGGCTACTGCCCCGTCTCCGACGAGCTCGAGCCGTGCCGGTGGGAGATCATCCCCGCTGTTGGGACGGACGCCCCTCAGTTCCGCATCGTCTTCTAGCTGAGCGATACTTCCAAGAAGCAATCTTCTCGAGTATTTATGGCTTTACTTGTGTAAGAAAGCTTCGAACTTTCAGTGATGCAGCCCTTTGCCATACCAGTAAGATGTTCCGATTCTCTTGGGCAGTTGGACATTGTAAATTTGTGGTTTTCTGCGCTTTAATTTTTCGTTTGGCTATGTTGGTACAGATTTCGTTTGTTTGTGTTCTTGATGCATCTCATGGTGTTAATACTCTTATTTGAATTTGCTGTAGCTTCTGTCTTTTGTGTCAGTGAAATTGAAATGTAGGTCCTATACCTTATCGGAATATTACTTCTTTGGTATTAGCCTAACCTCCTATGACATGAGCGTTGAACCTGATGGGACCAAAACCCAACCTCATCGAATAAATTAGATCAAGAGATTATAGTTCTGCAATTTTCCTACTTCTTTTTATTTAGCTATGGATCTTTCTTTTTTCCAAATCAAATGGATAACTTAGTTATCACTATTGGTTTATTCATGAACATATCTGCCAACAGTGACTTTGCCTAGTAAAAAAACAATCCCATCCTTAAGAGTTCCCATGTTTGATTTTTAGATATGGTTCACCAATAATCAGGCATAGCTGATTCCCATCAGGAGGTACTTCCAAAGAAGAAACTTTTCAATAGACAACATTGTTGTCCTAATAGGATGTTATGGTAAATCATGCAAAGTTACATTGGCTTGATGGCATTTGATAATTAGTTAAGTGAGTGTTGTTGGACATTAGAGTGAACATATCAAACTTTGTTAGTTTAATAAACTTGGTGAGTCTGTCAAGGTTTATCGGTTTGACAATTACTTTTGTAAACATAAATTTGGTATATCATCATAATGTTATCATTTTTCTAGAGAAGCAAGTAGTAGGTTGTCATTGGAGAACTAGCATTAAGATAGAGCAACTGGGTCCTGCGGTTCTGTTTGATTGAACATGATCTGTTGGTAAAATTACATTTTTGCTAAGTGTTTAGTAGGTGGATACTGCCATTTCCTTGTCTTCATCATGAATGTTAGGAAAAAACTATTGGTTCGCAAATTTTTCATCATGTAAAATTGGTGATTACCTTTGGAAGTTCTCTTTGGGTCACCAGAGACTTGAAGTGCTGCTGTAGCATGTGGGTGTTATAGTGGGTTTTGAAACGGATTCATAACTTGAAGTGCTGCTGCTGTAGCAAACTTCATAATTTCTTTTAGAATACATTAGTTTTCAGGACTGAACTTTGTCGTTCGCTTGCAGTTCAAATATTCTTTTTACAGGCTTGCTTCGGGTGCTTAAGTGCTATGTATAGTTAAAGAGTTGGTGCGAAAAGAAAATTGTGTCTTATAGTTCAATGGGAGAAATATTCTTCGAGGCTGTTCTGTAATACCCTCAAAAGTACGTTTTTTATCCTCATGTGTAGTAATGGTCCTCAAGTTGGAATCTTTAGAGTACAGGATAATCTTGTGGGCATTTTAATGAGTTTTGAAATGGACTCATACCTCGAAGTGCTGCTGCTGTAGCAAACCTTATAATATTTATTTTAGTAATCATGTACTGGTGAATATGAAAATATCATTTTTCAGGACTTATTTTTCTCTGCTTGCAGTACAAATATTTTTTTTTTGCAGGCTTTGTAGAAGAAACTTGTTTTTGTCTTATAGTCAGTCCAATGGGAGAAATATTCTTCAAGTTGTTTGTGTCCTCAAGTTGCAAATGCATCAGTCAGACTCTTTGAGGCCTTATATCCATATTAGACAGCAGAATGCACATGACATTAAGCAACACTGGATTACACTTCAGTCTGAGAGCTTATGATATGATTAAAATCTATGTTATAACACATGCAATGGACTAAATTGTGGCCTCAAATGGTTTTACTTTCTGTACTGCAAGATGGCATGGAAGTTCCTAGAAGCAAATATTGATCTACTTTACCATGGCATTTTGTAATGCACAAGATGTTTCAATCTATACAATCCTTGTTTCCTGTTGTTTAAGTTCTGTTTTCTTGTTTGCATGGTATATCCTTGTTTTCTCTTCATTTTGCTTTAGCTTATCCTTAAATGTGTTGATAATCTATATATCCCCTCCTATCACTCCAGAAAGTATCACATGTAGTCATAAGTGTCAACTTATCTCCTTCACAGCTTCAACATTGACTACCATTATCTCCAAAGCATCCTCAACTTTTCCTTCATACCTTTGCCATGGTATCCTATTATTTTTCTTTTATTTTTTGGCAACCCTCCTTATTGTGTGCAATCTTAGATTAACAACAAAAAATTGGATTCACTTGAAGGATAATACATATTTTTTTTCCAGTAGGTGTTTGTGTGTTTATCTGTGTATTTCTCATATCATGTAACCTTTACACAAGACATTTTTATGTTATGATATTAACTTGAAATTAATGTTGTTATTAGAATTCAAGATAAAACCAAATCAAAGGAAAGAACTCTTTTAGCAGAGTACCTCAAAGAGGAATTGAAGCCATTCTCTCAACCCAAATTACACCTCCCCTTCACTTCAATCAATGGCATTTGGGCCAAAACAACTCTTCTTCACAGGATTCCACACCCACTGCACGAGAAACCTCCTCCCCTTCACGCCATTCAAATTGTAGCTCTCCCCTTCCGAGCTCTTGAACACGCTCCCCACGTACCCTCCTCCTCCTCCTGATCCATAAACCCCGATGCAGAGGTCGGCGATCTCCGTTGGAGCCGCCGGGTCACTGCCCGCATACCATGCATTGATCAATGGGTTGCTCGACATCTCCGCCAGCTCGTGCGCTATCACACTCACCATGCCATCGGCCCCGACGTCCCCGTTGGGCGCTCCCAACACCTGGATGCCACCGCCGCTGCCGTTGGCGTTGCTGGCCCCTCCCATGTAGTCCGGCAGCGCGAAGGGGTACGCGCACATCCCCGGGCACTGCGAGCCGCTGTGCCCGACCCATGCGTACGGCACCGTCACGCCGACGATCTCCGGGAAGGTGAAGTAGTGGAAGCCGCACACCTCCCTGCAGAAGTCCTCCACCCGGACGTCGGGCGAGGTCAGAACCAGGTAGAGCCCGCCGTGCGGGTCCAGCGGCAGCCGCTGCGGGTGCGCGGCGACGGCGGACCGGATAATGGACTGGATAGCCAGGCGGGACAGGGTGGCCCCGTGCGAGTAGGCCGAGTCGTGCACCTCGCCGGCCAGCACGAAGCTGCCGGTGACGTTGGAGCCGGTCTGGTCGGCGTAGAGGCGGACGGTGCGCCACCACTCGGCGATGGAAGGGGAAGGAGAAGGGGAGGAGAGGGAAAGCAGGAAGTCCCTGATGATGCCTTGCGGAGCCGCCTCCCAGTGGCCATACCATATGGTGTAGATGTTGGCGGGGGAGGCGAGGACAGGACCCATGTGGTATGCGACGTCCACCAGCTCCGAGGAGGCCGCCAAACGGTCAGGTCGGTGTGGGTGATGGCGCTGCCATGAGAAGGCCGCCGCAGCTACGACGCAAGAGAATGCGAGGAGGAGAAGACACAGCCTGCTCATCTTTTCCACCACCATATGGTCTGTGCAGGAGGCCATGTCTTTAACCGGTTTGAATCACCTTTGCCTCTACATTTTGAATCATGCTGCGAGGAACCCAATGATGACTACTCTCACTTTTGCCATCATCTCTCTAATATAAACACCATTTAAGGGTGTTAAGAACGAGGCTTTTGGATGTTTACGCCACCAATAAAGAAGAGGGCATTCTCTGCAGCAGTAATGCTATTATATCAGCAGCAATGGATGGTGTCTGCAAAAGCTTCGCAATCACTGCATCCTCTTTTGGGCTCTAAGGAAAGGTATTGTTATGGAAGAAAAAGAAGGTGGTCAAAGATACAGAGTGAAGCAGTAGAAGAGTCAAGAGAGGTCTGACCTGCTGCTTTAGTGCTTTGTGTGAGATCCAAAGTATGGTAAGTACTGCCCACTTGTTCTTCTTATGGTGCAGAAATCATGGAACACAGTGTCGGAGAGTTATGAGGAGGCAAAGAATTCAGGAGCAGGAATGCAAAGAGAACTGAGAATGATTAGCATTCATGGTGTGATTGTAAGCATGCAGTAGATACAGACTGGGCATAAAGATGAGTCCCAGTTGTATATGAGGCAATGGCTGCAAGATAAATGAAGTGAGAGTTCATATGTAGCATCCATCTTTCCCAGATGTCATTATCTTAGAGAGAGAGAGAGAGAGAGAGAGAGAGAGAGAGGAAAGATAAAAAATAATTAAAATCAATTTTATTTTGATTATAAGCAAATGAGTAAAGGTTTTGATTAGTAAATACAATTCAATAATAGATAGATAGAAAGTTTAGGGGGCATAATAGTAAATAAAGAAATTAACGAAAACGAAACGAAACGAAACGAAAACAAGATGAAGAAAAGAAAACCAACTCGAATGAAAAATCTCCACGGCCATTGCGCAGCTTAAAAGTAAAAGAAGCGTTTCCTTCACCACCGCCGCCTCCATCGCCGTCGCCGCGCTTGGACCGGCCGTGGCGGGTGACGCGCCTCGCCTGGCCGCCCCACCGCTGGTCCGCCCCCACTGGCCGTGGCTTCCGGTGCAGCTTCGGCGCCTCCACCGACGGTGGCGGCGATTACGCCCGATTAAGAACGCGCCCTACGGGTCCCAGTATTTCTCGCCTGCCTTCCATGAAGACGGTCCGATCTCCTCCCCCGTTTATTCCCCCTCTCTGTTCCCTTGATTTTGAATCTTTGCCTTGGTCTGATCCGACGGCTTCCCCTTTCGTGATTTATCGTGTTATCTTACATGTGCTTCTTCTGCCGTGGTACGCTTGATCTCTTGGTTAGTTGTTCTTGAATGCGGATGATCGGGATGGGACACGAGGAAACTAAATGGGATATTATACTTTGTCGTGGGTTTTGCTAAATGGGTTTCAGTTAAATGGTTAAGTATGCATACTCAAATACTTTTTTAGGTATTATTTTATCGCATAGTTGGAATTTGATGTTGATCGGTTCGGTTTGTGTTTGGTAGTGTTCAAAAACCAATGGCCTTTGGCAATTTTTTTAGAGTCGCACAGTTTCAGATATATGAGTGTTAGATTGTGGCTAGAATAATGCGTTTAAATTTTGATGTTTCTTTGATGAACACAAACATTTAGCATGTAAAGATGAAGGGTGGTATTGTTTGTAATACTATTTCTTTATGCAACTCCAAGTGAAATAAATGGTGATGTTTATAATATTTGTAATAGGTATTGTTTGCTAGCTATTGTAGATAATTAGAAGTTGCTTACTAAGGAGTAGCAATAAGATATCTTATGACATTAAATGAAAAATCTTTAATCTTCCTTATTTTAGGCATTTTCCAGATCGGATTAGTCAAATAAAGCTTTGTTTAGGTAAGAATTTATGGTAGAATAATCCATGTATCTTTTATCTTTAGAACAAGACGCCTACTTGTTAAGCTGCTTGCCTATTAAAGGACATATCAACTCATTGTAAGCATGTTTCATGGTTCATCTTCAACAAAAGTTTCTATTCATGGGCAAGAGGGATGTGCGTTGGATTTTGTCCTCTTCTTTTTTTCAAAGACTAAATGGTGAAGACGAAATTCAAGCTTTAGGATCTTACGATGATTGTCAAAGTCTTCACTAGCTAAGTTAGCTATCATCTTTTAAGTTGGATTATTAGTCTTGAGAAATAAAACTTTAAAAATAAAAAAAAACCGGACTTACCAAGTAGTAAAGCCCTGTACAGCATTTGGGCCACCTGAAATTGCGCTGTCCATGTGCCAATTCATGCCGGGACCAATAAATACCAGTTCGATGCCAATAGAAATAGAGATGAGTATTGTGGATATGATAGATGAGTATGTCAATACCATCCAGTCCTCTTCATTCCTTTTCCAATCGAAAGCAACTATTGTTCTCGTTTAAATTCTTCATGTCCTCTTCCTACATATCATATAGATACCCTACAATTATAGGTTTTTCAATTGTTGATATTTATTGAATAATTTCCTTAATTTTTTTCAAAATTCTCTTTTGTTTAATCATCCAGTCAAATTTGAGGTGCATAAGCACTAATATCATTTAAAATATCTTCTCCTAATTTAATTTTATAATTTTAATTATATTCTCAGCTCTACAACATTGTCCTTAAGATCCTTATGTACAACAACCTCACACCATTCTATGTAAAACTTTTTTTAGTATAATAAACTTAAAATATAGTATTATCAATTTCTTTACTTTTTTCCCTTCTGACTTAATTTTCTGTAACAAATTGTGTTAATTTTTCTTCCAATCTTTTTCTCTATCACTTTTAATACTTTCCTTAGTAGTGTTGTGATTTTCCAAGTTGCTAAGCTAATTTTTAGAATTTGTACTAACTCATTGGTCTGGAACAATGTGAAAATCCTTTTCCTATTATTCACCACATCCAAACATGTGATGAGCCATTTATAGATAACCTCCTAATCCACCTTTTGCACTTTGAGACACTTGGGTGGTGGAGATGTTTCACATCACTTCAATGTGATGATCTAGTCCTATAATGAAAGTGGTTATGATCTATCTTCATGAGATCTTATGTAGTTTTGCACTTCTAACAGTGCGTAAAGTAATCTTTCACCTTTTTTATCTAGGTTTGGATCAGCATCAGTGATATTTCCTTTTACCACCATTAGTTAAATTTATCCTTAACTGAGTTATAGTGATGAAAATAATCTTTTAAGGCTGCATATATTGACTCTCGCCAGATCTTGTATTGAATGGAGTCTCGTGCACTGGGTACAACTTTTTAATATATGTATTTATTTTGTACAGTAGTTAGACTGCAAGATCTAGTAAACTCAGTTCTTATAGTGATGCATTGCTGGTACTAGGAAATTTTGCCACTAAACTAGGTGAAGTTATGCAGTTGTTAAATTAAAAATGTTGGGACTGCTAACCTTTGATTTGTGTGGTATATTTTGCTGATATTTCCCCTGCACAACTACTTGCACATCATTGTTGCATTTTGAGAAATTTGATTGTATTTAAGTCCTTTTGGTGCAAAATTCTAAGATATATATCTCTATGCATTGTATTTCTACTTATCTTTGCTAGGCAAGGTAATTTACATGAAGCAACTAGGTTCATAAGGACAAACCCAGTGTGAGGTTCTCACCAATGTGAGGGTCTACAAGTTTCAATAATTTATATCATGACTTGCTTCTCATTTGACTTTGCAGATTTTTCACTTTTAGGTATCTTGAATGGGTCCCGTGGTAGGGAGTATTCTTCCATCTCTTGGCCGTGTAAGGCTCGCTGATCTTGTAGCCTCTGAAGGTCTTCCTCCAGACTCTTACAAGATCTCTGTATCAACACTTACACAATCCTTTGCTCAGTATTCTGCTGCTATCATTGAGTTACCTCCTGGAGACAGTGCTCTTTTAAGATCGGGTCTAGAATCTGCTCGTTTGTTTTTTCATCAGCGTGCGTACCCTCCTGCTGATATGGTTCATACAAATGAAACCCGTGAGTGGTGCAAGACATCTGGATATTATGCGGACCCTCAACTGTGGCAAGAAACATATGATTACAGGCCTGGTCTTACTGCAGCAGAGCCTCATGGTTCAATGGAATTTCCTCCGGCTGGCTTGCCTGACATATTTGCAGTTCTTGGCAAGGCTGCCCGAGATGTATTGGATGCTATCAGCTTTTCTTTAAATTTGCGCAGCTTTTCATTTGCTGAAATCCTTGATAACATGCCTTTAAGAAGTAGGGAGATATCCTCCTCAGTTCTTTCAGTATGCTGTCATTCAAGGCCATCATTCCAAGGAGCACAAAACCACAATTTGACAGCACAGGAAGATGGACAGCTGGTTATGTTCCCAGACCATGAGCATCAAGTTGATAAGGCCTTAATAACTCTTGTCAAGTCAGATATGGCAGGATTGCATATAAAAGACTTCCATGGACGTTGGATCCTCGTTGATGGAGATCTTGGCCCTCAAGATGCAATTATTTATCCTGGACTAGCACTTTACCAGGCAACTGCTGGTTATGTGAGTCCTGCCATGCTTAGGGTAGAGATGGGCAATTTGCAAAGTAACATGTATGGAAGATGCTCTTTGGCTTTCAAGCTCATGCCTAGATCCATGGCAAGTCTTAGCTGTTCAGAGATGAGGGCAGCTGGTCATGGAGTTGAAGCACAATTCCAGATTCCTATACCAGTGGATGACTTTATGCAGAGGTCACACTCTACTGATCAATTCGCTAAACTTAATTATCCCAGCTATGCGTTTCAACCTGGCCAAGATGGTAACTCATCATTCTAGTACTATTTAACATTTTTTGAAGAATATCTTTACTATGATTTCAACCATTACAAAGTTGCCTGTAGTTGAAAACATAAATGTGTATCAATATATTGATGTGGCTTATACATAGCTTCATATATACATGTATTATCCGTACATTTCAGACATATAGGAAGATGCTCTAGAAAATGTTTGTGTTTAGCATGCATATCTGAATATACGTTTGCCTGTGCATCTGTTCACACTGTGTCTTTTCTTTATATTCTGGCTTTTATAGATCTTTTTACCTTGTTGAATCTTAAGACGGTGGTTGGCTGTGTGTTCTTCTAAATTTCACTTTGCCTATTATGAGTATATTTCCCTTTGCTTGCTCTATCCGCTAGAATGATGTGGCAGTTCCATTTTCTTTTGTTGTCTGTTTCTGGAACTCATCAAAATGGAAAAGCACATTTTCACCTGAAGTATATAGTTGATTTTTTTTCCCTTTGATGATCTCTGAATGTTAGGGTGAATGTCATCTAAAGTTTGCTAAACGTGCATTGGGTTATCTATGGGTTACAACTATGGTCTACGGGTTATAGCAATCCACCATTTTAGATAATTTTTGGTTACAATCTGTCAGCAATTGTTATTCAGCTGTTAATCATCTATCAGTTGGCTGTTCTCGCCGCTTAACTGTATGCGGACCACTGGCAATTGTTAACTTCTCATTATTTGATGGCCAGCAACAGCCAGTCAACAATGTGATTGTTTGCTGATAGCCTGTGAAACACTTGTAGACCCTTATACAATTTTCCAACAACCTCTCTCTTGACAAAGGAAACACTGTAATTTGAATTTTCTTAACTTGTTGACTTTCAAAAGGTTCTAGTTGACCTGTAATTTAAAAAATGAATCAGGGAATGTATTATGAATGGAAACCTCATATGAAGACAATTTGTTATTTGTTCTTCACTTTTCTAGACATCCTATCTACCAATGGGCTCTAATAGAGCCACCCTACTGTTTTTGGATGGACTACATGAACTTTTGTTATGATCTTTCTTGTTGCTTATGACCAAAATAAAAAATGTAGGAACCTTTATGAGATCAGGAAACTTGACCACACAAAGTGATGGATCCTGAATCTTCTTTCATATATTCATATACATACATACATACATACATACATATTATGATATATGGAACTCTGGAGTATATGCAAGTGCTGCTCTGTATTTCAAGTAAATAGCTTGTAAGGTTGGGTAGGCTGCAACTTGGACAGGTTGGCTGAGGTTGAACACTAAACCGAATACTGAACCCCAACTTCTGATCCAACCCAAAAAGATCTCTAGTTATCCTGCTCTATGGCTCCCATTGCTTTCCAAGGTAGGGTGTAAGCGAGCTGATTCTAATGAGGTCCACAGTTAAAGCTTGGTTTTTTGAGTTCTTGGACTCTCTTGACTAGGAAAAAAGAAATTCATTACACAAAGTGATAAGGAAGGAAATCAAATGCGTCGTTTGAGAAGGTGAACAGCCTGACAAAAAATAAGAAGAAAAGTTCAGGCTCTCCCTGGACTCTATGACGCAGAACTTCGTTCTAAGTCATTGCTATTTAGAAAATTTTTCGAGTTTTGTGGAGTTTAAATTGATCAGAGTTCCTACTTTGAATAAAACAATGTATAATGAAGGCTTTCATATTAAAGGTAAGATGGACACCCTTTTATGGCTGTCATAATTTAGGTGAGTTGTTTAGTGATATAAACTGAAGGTCATGTATGAAGTGTAAAATATGTATGTTTCTTCTGAACCCCTAGAGATTTAGGGTGCTATAATGATGCTTTAGGTAGTGTGAAGATAGATCTTTGGAACCTCTCGTAGTTATGGAAAATTTGGTTCTAAAGTTATTGCCGGCTTATTTTGTGGATTAAAACAATGCCAAATCTTCAACAAATGAAGCCTTAAAAATCATTGTTTTATATTCACCAGAGCAACAAATGGACCTCAAGATCTTGCAGAACTTCATAATAAAATTTAAAGGCTAAAGGCAAACTAAGGTACTGAGATCTTTTATAGCCTAAGTACAATGCACACGATATGAAGTGCAAACCTTACCTCATTAAAGCAAGGTGCACAACATGCATATTCACAAAATAATTAAAGAAATATTTTAATTATGATGTGATGAACAATCCCTAATACAAAATAATGAAAAGTATGTTTTGACACATCATTTTAAAGCTTAGTGTTATGGTAATTGTGAAACACTGACTCGGATGATGGAAAAGATTAGCGGGAAAGCAGCATATATGAGAAATAATAGGAATAAAGGAAAGAAACAAAACGCAATGGATAAGATGGCCATGAAACTGATATGCCAAATCCCATATGTTTGTTATTTTTCTTTTTAATGAAAGAAAACTTCTGTTTTATTGGTCTTCCTTCTTTTTAGAATGAGTAGATCAGGATATAATCTATGCAGCAGCTAGCTGAAACATAGTGAGTATTTCTTGTGCTAACATTATTTTTGTACTCTTTTTAATCATTAAATTCATCCTGTGTTGCCAATTTGTTATCTCACACACTTCGTTCTTTCTAATGGTGTTATATAATAATGCCTATGGGTAAACCGTAAAACTGAATGTAGCTGCCTGTTCTGCTTTTCTTTATTCGGTTGTCTTTTATGTTACGCTGTTATAACTTGGTTAAATTAGTTTCTATGCCCTAATTCACTTGCCTGGTCATTAAAAATTAGATTTTTATGTAGCATCCATGAAACCTCATATAAAGAGTAAGAAGGACAAGACGAGGTGCAAGCCTTTGCCTCCTTCTAAGAAACTACGTCTGGAGGCTCAGAGGGTCCTCAAGGAGCGTGTTCAAGATATTGCTGAAAAGAAGGGCATAAAACTCAGGTTTTGTAATCTTAAGGAGTGTGAGGGCCACATGCTATCAATGGACAGCCCATGTGGGAATATAAGAATGGAGATTGGATGGCCTCCTGGTGTTCCATTTGTTCATCCACATGACCTTCCTAACAAGGCGAAGCTTGGCTTCCTCGAAGCTTATGAGCCTGGTTGGGCAGCTTCTCAGCAAGATATGGAGTTAAGTTTATTTAACCTGGACATGCCAGATATTGGTTAAATAACCTTGCACTCACAATTCTTTTTTTTAATCTCTACATGCACATTGATAGATTCCTAAATACATGCATATCAAGTTCCTTGAAAAGAGAATATCAAAGGCGATCTTACATTTGTTCTCTTAATTAGATTTTCTTGATAAGAAACTTTTTTTTTTGGCTAGTTTTTATGCTATCTACTATCTTGCTTAAGCAATGTAAATGATTGAATAACACAAACTAAAAGTTCCCGAGTTGGATCACATTTAGCTGGTCTTTGTTTATAATTAGTACATGTTGTTGTAATTGAATAATTTATAATTTACTTGGTTCAAATGTCTGTTTCTCTAATTTAGCTGGTATTCTGAGCTGTTATTTTTTGCAGGAGTCAGTCTTCATAACTTCTGATATTTAGGCATCCTTTATTGGCCTTGTGACTTCACAAACTCTGCCAAGAGTTCAACTCCTGCAGTCATTGGCCCAAATGTGCAATGACCTATCAGCATGTATGTCTCTCCAAATCCCTGAGATTAAAGTGTAGAGCTGATTTAATTTACCAACAACGACCTCGAATACAATGCATCAGTTGCGAAGAATATAAAGCTGGCATTCTTCTCTTTACATGATCGGTATTGTTGTATATTCCAACCTCTGGCTAACCCTGCCTGCATGAAACCATAGATCAGCTTTCCAGTCAAAGTCTATGCTCAGTTTAGAAGATGTGAAAGAGCAGATCATGTCTTACTTTTGCAGATCTTTTATAGTGCGGTGCCGTGAAAAAAATAAGGTAAATGAGATTGAGCAGATACAGAAGGTGAAATTACCATACTTAGTACATTGTGGTGATGAAAATAAATCAGAGTGACAGGCTGCAAAATATCGCCTCCCAAATCATGGCAGCCCAATTCAGGCTTTTTAAAACAAAGCTCTGCTCCATTTGATCTATGCTTGCCATATCAAATTTGTAAGGCCTGATAATGATCTCCAGATGCTGGTGTCCTTCACTAATATCTACTATGATTATAATTGTATTTGAGTGTGATATTATGATTGTATCTTTGCACCTAGTTGATCAGGAGATTCAGGACTGTGAGTCACAAAAGTCTGTTGCAGTGATCCTCTTAAGACCCTGCACATGCAGTGGGTTCTCCATTGATGTTGTGTACAAGGTCTTGCTTCAAAATGGATATTCTTGTTCCAAGCCTAAATCATTCAACACACAACTCCAAAATGTATATTTGTCTTTGAAATATTATTGGCATGCCTGAAGATGGTATTTGTGCTTTTCACAATATAAATTGTATACAGAACAGAAATACCAAGTAGTTAGTTGTCATAATTATTCGAAAATGCAATATTTATGCTTTTGTGATGGCCCAAAACTATTGCATTAAGAAGTAAGATTTTTCTTAATGAAATAATAGAGTAAGACAACATTTAGTTGTAATCTAAACTCAATATATGTGTAGTTTGATTTTTTTTTAATTCCCAGTAACATATGACTATTATTAGCCCTTATTTTAATTGTTATCTCACATAAATTTTCTAATATTTATTTTTTTATATGTGTTTTGTTATATTAGAGAAACTCGAATCTAAGACCTATCAAAACTTTTATGAGATTATATAAACTCACATTTTATGAGATTAGACCTATCAATTATAGACTTATTTTAATTGTTATCTCGCATAAATTTTTTAATATTTATTTCTTTATACGTGTTCTATTATATTAGATAAACTCGAATCTAAGACCTATTTATTTGAATCTCATAATTTTTTTATTTTTGTAAGGAATAATTAATTTTCAAATAATTATCGGATAAAGTTTTAAATCTTAGTTTTCTTATAAATAAATCTCATAGACAATCATCAAAGTAATATTTTGGCTATAAACTAAATAGATTACTAATTGTCACCGCGGGGACCACATGTGAGAGGAGGGCTTCCTCACCATCTCCAATAAGAAGGCAGGTAAACAAAAGGGGTTAATTCCCAAAGGACCGGAAAATGATTATTTTGGTACGAAAGCACTGCCGTCACATGCCGTTGGATCATAACAAGTCCTCATCTTGGGCGACGTAGCTCGACGCGAACCCTCGTCTTCCTCTTCGTCCCTCTCGGGTGGCCGCACAACTCGACACCTTCGTCCCTTCTTTCCCTTCCTGCCCCCCTTCCGTTCCTCCTTCATCCTACCCATCCCCAATTCGTACCCGTAAGCAGTCGCCATGGATCAGAAACGACGAATTCGCTGATCTCTCACCCAGAACTCCACTCTGTCGCCAAAACGTAACGCGATCCCTCGTGGATCACACCCCGTGGACGATGCTCGATCTATTTCTTCTTGCAATTTGTGATTTGATGCGTTTCCTTTTCTGTCGGTTGTTGTTTCTTCGTCTTATGATCGACTAGGGTTGATGTATTCATCAGTTTTGCTTGTGTTTTTTGTGATGATCGGTCACCAGAGACTGCGATCGTGCGCTTATCGAAGTAGCCCGAAGCAGTAAGGTTCTTTGGATTTGTGGGAATAGAGAAGGGAGATATGTCTAGTGGAGAAGTCAGGAAGGTCTCCCGACAGGACATACAGCTAGTAAGGAAGCTTTTATTCAATATCTTAGCCATTTGCATCTTTGGTCTTGGTTTATACGTGGCTTTTGGTCATTTAATTTTAGATACATCTATTTGTTTGCTTATATCTGTTGATGGGTTGATATTATTCTTTTAAGAATTACTTAACTCGAAGAATAGATTTAGGTTTGTACTCCAATAATTGTTTAATTATGATGTTTCTTTAATTAAAAGATATCTGATTGTAGTTGATATAGTGCTTTACATAACGTGCTTTGAATTTTTATTTTTTTTCTGATTTATGAACTTTTATGAAATCTAGGACAAAATCAGTTTATGTGCTTCAGTTCCATTACGGTATCGTCAAATTTGTAGATAACATTTTGGTTTTAATTTCTTTATGCATCCGATATATTTTGGTTTCAGTGGAATAAAGGAGCTTTTAATTACTTAGGTTTATCATATCGTAGCAGCAAGCTAAAATTAATACCACTTGACATTTGGAGCAAAACTACGTAGCTCTTGTTTCTTTAGTAGTAGCATAGGCTGTCTAAGAAACACGTTTTTGCTGTTATCAGATATGTTGTTTCTTTAGTAGTAGCATAGGCTGTCTAAGAAACATGTTTTTGTTGTTATCAGATAGTGATTTGATTCCTTTAAGAATTTGTAAAATGTTGGATATTAGACGTTAGGACTATCGCGGGCAGTATTTTTGTTTTGATGGTTCAACATTGTCATGTCTTCTAAAGGCATACAACTATGAAGATTGTAAAAAGCAAATGAGTGGACCATGAGTCTTGATTTGTATGTTGTAGCTTCGCTGGCATAGGTGTGTGTTGGTATTGCAACTGATAGAGCACTCCCTTGTTCTATGCTACACATTCTTTTGTCCCACTACTTATTAAGGTGTTTTCACCTAAAGCTTTGTTTTTTGTGCATTAAAACTTTGTCCTTGTTGATGGATGAAAGAATTGAATATTTACAAGTGTTAAGGAGTCATTTGGTTGGATAATAAGTGGCAGAAAGGATTTATCCTGCAATAACTTCCCAAATAACCTTTTTTTTTATAGTATTTATTCTGACTAGTTTTATAGACATTCTTGTTTGGTATAATAAATGTATATAATAAAATAGCCTGCTCTACCAAACCAATAGAATTAGCTTTTCCCATCATTTGGACTGTTGCTTATCCTGTTAGAGATAATAAGGTAACTATTCTTTTTTTAAAATATATTTTGAATCCAATCAAGAATAGGATAAATATAATTGCCCTGTATGGAATATCTTTTTCTTTATATGTATTCTTGAGCCACATGGGCCCTAAGAAGAACCTCAGTGTTTCATGTGCTATGTTATGCTACATGTGTCATGAGGCTTTCTTAACTGTTTTCATGCTTCACGTGCTGTGATTGTCCGCATGAACATTTCCTACCATTTTGACAGAACGTCCAATGGCATGCTCCGTCTCTCCTAATGCCACCTGAATTAATGCACTTCTTCGTATTGGTATATTTGAATATCTTGTAGGAAACTAAAAGTACATTCAAGCTGCCACCAACGTGAGATTCTGAATGAACTTTTATGCTTCAATGCTATATGTGACTTCTATTGATTTTTTCTGGATTCTAAGATTTGAAACTTTATTGACAAGTGCATGACTGTTTACTGTCTTGTAATTATGTTTACCTTATTGGTTGTTTAAGTTTAAGTTTAAGTCTGCATTTCTGTTTTTAAGGTAACTTTATACAACTAATTATTATCAGAAGCACCAAAATTAATTATAAGATGATATAGAAACATATCTCTTGCTTATTTTTTACTGATTTTATTTAGCTTAGAATTATTTTCTGATATTGGACGATAATGATCTGTCCAATGATTTTCTTTAATTTCAGGTTCAGAATCTTATTGAACGGTGTCTGCAGTTGTATATGAACCAGAGAGAAGTTATCGACACTTTGTCATTCCAGGCAAAGATAGAGCCTAGTTTCACTCAACTTGGTAATTTCATAGTAAATCATCTTAGTCAAATGAGATTTATCATCTCCATGATTTTGCACTAAATCATTGAGATGTTTTCATGTGGCTTTTGGAGCAATGTACTTTGCAGTTTGTACTACGTCATTATTTTCTGATTGAGATGTTTTTCTTGTGGCTTTTAGAGAAATATACTTAGTCATGATAGCACTAGTTCTCCCCATGTTGAATATGCAAGTATACCATCAAAATTATTTGAGTGATTTACAAGATGCTAACGTTTACCACTGTTTGGTGTGTTTTGGTCATTTTGTAAGTATTTTAATATCGGCTGTCACATATTTCAATTTCACTTAACCTAATTGCACATCTGGTGATAGTTAAAAGGGTAAAATAAGGGATCTTTGAACTAAATGTATATATAGGGTGTTTGTGTTTGTAAGAGAGAATTTGTGAAGTCAGTGATATTTTTAAGGTATATAAAATTGAGATAATAGGAGACATTGACCCTTCTCAAATCCTGCATTGGTGGGAGCCTCATGCACTAGATTTTTTTAAAATAAAGTTAAATAGGATGCGTGGTGCTTTTGGAGGCTACATACAATTAAAAGGGATAGCTTGGTTTATGAGGTTCCCACCAATGAGGACTCTGTGGAGAATCAGCCCTACCACTATTTCTGTGAGACGAGTTTTGTACATTTTGGGGAATCTTACCTTGCCAAGGCTCATTATCTTATAAACATACATAAAATATTGTCACTGAAACTAAACTGCCAGAATAAGATAGATTTCAACTCAATTGTATCGATATAATATACCATTTAATTACCCTAATATTAACCTAAACTTCAGGTCAAAATTGGGATGTGTTATGAAGACTCTTTCCTCAATTCAAGTATCTTTGGAGTTCAGAATACTAAGAATTGAGAGAACTATTTTGTTTAAGCAAGCTGCATTCTATATATTTTGACAATTTTGAGTTATTTCTAGATTCTTCCATTCTCTTAGAGTATTTGTTTTTTCTAGTCATAAACTAGGCCTCGTCACCTAGGTGATCAGAAGGTCCAGAACATCATAAGACAAGGTTCTTTTGTTGTTATGTATTTTGGCCTTTGATGATGTGGATGTGTGTAAATATATAATAAAGGTGAGCCTCTGTGCCTTGATAAAGGTTATCCTTTGCAACTTGCATGACGAGTGACATAATAACTCTAATTACTTGTAGGATGAGAATATTTATATTAACCTTGCCATGGATTCAAATTTGCCCAAACCAGTACATGTTAAGCAGTATTTGCTGGTGTGGGCTTGAACTAGGGCTTACTGTTTGATCCAGTCTGGTAGGTTAGTTACAACTTGGTACTGGTTAGAAACCAGGCTTACTGTCCTATTTCTTACTGTTACAGGCCTGAATTGGGCAGTAAGCAACCACCCAGTTCAATGATTCAAAAGAGACTTATCAATGGGCATTCAACCCTCTTTCCCTTCATTTCTCACTATCTCACATTCCCTCTCTCAATCCTTCTCAATTGTCACCTATAAAATCTCACCCAATTTATCTTCCAAACTTGCTCAAATTCTTAAGGGGAGGCTCAGGTTCTCAAAGGGAGTCTCAATTTCAACAAGAAGATGGCTCAATCATGATATTTTTTAAACCTTATCAAATTCTTTCTTACCTGCTTCTTGTCTCTAACTTCTGGTGTTTCAGAATCAGCTGGCATTTTCTGGGCCAACCAATCTGGCTGATATTTTGTTAGGATGCTTCTTGTCTCTAACTTCTGGTGTTTCAGAATCAGTTGGCATTCTCTGGGCCAACCAATCTGGCTGATATTTTGTTAGGATAAACTAACTAATCTTTCAAACAAGTTTGAATTTCAGATGCTGAACGGGAAATCATGACTATGTGTGGGGATTAAATGTGGTTGTCTGGAAAAGAAATATGCTTAGTTAGATTGATATGATAGTTTCTCTGAGTTCTAGTCCTATAGATTTCTTTTTTACTTAATACAAGCTGATTCTTAAGTAGTGAACATGGTAAAATGTTGCACTGTAGTAGTACATCTCTATTCTTTCTCTCCATGAGCTGATGGAATAAATTCTCATGACCTTGGAACTGGTACTTTTGTTTGATCTATTTTTTTTTACACTGCTAGATGTTAGCACATTTGATGTTTTTTCATACTCATAGATGCTAATGTCCTAATCTATTTATGATTTAACATATATTCTTATAATTTAAACGAACTAGTTTATGAAGTGACCCTTACCATGTTTGAAAGTTATGCTAATGAATGACACTGCAAATACTCCTGAAATTTTCATACCTGTAATGCTATTGACAAGATTTCAAAACTATCTCCAGGAAGCCTGTTGATTTGTTTCTAAGAGTCTTATCTATAATTAAATGTAACTAGTTTGCCACTGGTTTAATGATTGTCATATTTTGTTGATTCTCAGTTTGGCAAAAACTTGAGGAGGAGAATCGAGAATTTTTTGAAGCATATCATGTTAGACTGATACTCAAGAACCAAATATTGATTTTCAACAAGCTCCTTGAGAAACAGGTTGAGCTGATGCAGAGAGCATGTCCTTCTGTAGTTGCTGCTGTACCCCATCCCAATGGCTCTAATTCTTCTTGTATGTCTATTTAAATTTTTTTTATTGATTATTATTTGTTGCTTTTGTAAACTGTTGCCTGAAGCTTGCCTTTATATCACATGGCTTTCTATATGGTACATTGCTTTGTGTTTTAGTGTTTCCATTAAATCACATCATTATATCTTTAAGCTCTTATCTTCCACACCAAGGTTCGCTGTTTTGGGTACCGGACCCATCTCGGCGATCTATCAGACTAGAGTATGTACCGGTCGGTACCAGTATGCCAACATCTGGTATGCTGGTGCGTATCGGTATTTCGGGGAGGAAGAAAAATAGGGAGAAGAGGAAGGAGTGGTGGAGGAATAGAGGAGGAAGAAGGAAGAAGAGGAAGCGGTGGAGGGGGAAGAAGAAAGAAGAGGATGAGAAGTAGCGGTGGTAGTTCACCTGGGAAGCAGTGGCGAGGCAGCAACAGGGGAAGTGGCATTGTACGCGTAAAGAGCGCAAGCCCTATTTTTTCTAATGCTGAGTTGGATAGGGCTCCACCACTTTTCTGTTTTTTTTATTATTTTAACTGGATCGCCTGAAATGCGGGTGGTCCATGTATCGGCCCATGCTCGGACCGGTATGTACTGTCCATACCATTTTGGATGGTACAACAGTCCTTGTTTCATATAATGGGAAAGCTCTATGCTGCTATTGAATATCGTTGATCTGTCATCTGGAGATTACATTTCTGAATACTTAATGTTAGATCATAGATGTTTCTAAATACAAAAGAAAACAAATATCAAATGTTAGTTAAAAGTTCATTAGTTTTTATCTTAACTGAGGTGCGCCCTCTTTCAGTTTCTGGAAATTCGTAAACATGTTGATGGAAAAATATCGAGACTTTTTTCTTTCACAAATTATCTCATATGGAATGAATCTTCTTCAATTCATCTTGGATTTATTGGGCTTTATGGTTTTTGTTTTAGTCTCTAAGTGCGAACTCGTCAATGTGTTCTATCTGTTAGTGCATTACACAGTTTGAGACATTGTTGACTACACCATTGATGGTTTTATGTCGGGGATACTACGAAGCCTTTGAATAACTTGCTTAGAAGATCACTCACCACTGTTAGTTACATGTTGTCATTTTAGGGCTTAGTTGATATTACATTGGTTTGATCCAGTTTGCATCATTATGAGTTTATTTTCAAAAGCCTCATCTATTGAGGACCACATAATTGCTAAATCTTTGTGCAGTGAACAAGTTGTTTCTAACTGACTCGGATAATAGAACCGAAGTTGATGACTGTTAAGAAGAAACCAGGAACTAGAACTTTGTAGATGTTTTGCTTCCACCTATTTGATTGACACAGTCTTTTCTTGTTATCTGAAATTATTTAAATTTTAATTATATCTAACAATTAGCAATTTGGAGTTGGTAGTAGCTGTCTGTAATGGATAGACAAAAGCAAGAAATTTGTATGAAATGAAACTCGCTTAAGAGAAGAAATGAAACCTAACAACATAGTTATGTTCCCCTCTAGAACTGTCCTCATACGGTGATCTCACACTAAGGCTAAAATTTTTTGTTTGAACTGTGAAGCTATTATTGTCACTTAGTTAACATTGAAGTTATGTGCATTTCATGTATATCTACTTTAATGCAAGTTAGATCCATGTGGATCCAGCCTAGATCCACCTAAATAGGAATATATTCATGTAGATCTCTCCTAGATCCACCTCAGTCAGGCCTACAATGCATGGACCTGACCTGGTATACACCCATATGATCCAGTTTAGATCCATGCAGATTTATTAACATCTAAATTGTATTTTACACTACTCAAGTGATAGTTTATAATTGTGTCTAAATCAGTTTTGATAATGGTTGTGAGATAACGATGCTGAAGCAGCAATCAATGGAGTCGACATGGCTGCCCTATTGCTTATACAATTGCCATCTTTAGCTGTGTATCCCACATTAATCACAGTGGAGAACTAACTCAATTAGAGCAACACTTGGGCGGTGGATGTTTTGATGTAACCAGATGCATGAAGGTCCCTCGAGGATCCATGTGTTTTGTGGCAATGTCAGTGTTAATGTTGTTATTTCAGTTCATTCTTCCATTACATGATATCCTTGTGATAGTGGTGCTCATGGTCTAGGCAGAAGTGCTAATATGAGGCAACATAGTAGCAGTGTTGCTCATGAGCTCGTTGGAAGTGCCTGCATGAGCTAGCAACCCTAAGCTGGGAAATTAGGAATTTCTTTAGCCATCATGGTAGGAGGCCAACACATAATGTTGTTGATTTTGAACTATGACATTTACTTTTGTGAGCAAAATAAACCAGGTTTGACAACACCAAATAGAAGAGATAAAAGGAAGATAACTGCAAAAGTGGTTCATCCTCGACTGCTTCCCTCCAAATGGAACTTGGAATATTATCCATTCATGGTGTCCATTAGAAATATTTTCTTGGGATATGACTTTGAATTCCATATGAGATTAGTAAAAAAATAACTTAATGAGGAAACCTGTAGTTGGATCAAGTTATTTAAGTAGTAGGACTATACTATGACACCGTCATGTGTGACAACCAGTCCCTACTAATGTGAGCACCATAAATTTGCATATTGATTATAATAGAAGAATATCTTCCACAAATTTGTTGATGTATTAGATCACTCTTACAATGTATGCTGATGAAGACCGTGATGGATAAGATTGGAGTTGCCTATATAGTCCAAATGCTGATTGACAACATTGTTAATTTCAAGAAGATTAATGACACATAAGCTCATCTTTTTATTTTGGACTTGTGTGGTCCACACTATATACTGTTAATGTACAGTGGCGACATCCCATTGGTGGGGAGTACACTAACAAAGATACAAAACAATGTCCATTTCATTTATAATGGATCTTAATGGAAGTCGATATGGTGCACCATTCAGTATTTTTGAGTTTGACCAAGGATTAATATGGGGCCATTTGATGCAGTACTGGTTGGTACTACCTTTTAGTATTATTTTTGGGAGATACCTGGTGGTAAGTTTTGACATACTGCCCAATATGCGAGTACCCAACCGGTCCAATAGATCACTGAAACTGACATTGGATCGAGATTTAAATCATCGTATATAAATATTACTGAGTGCATGCATTGATGAAGGGATCACAAAGGTGGAACTCATAATTCAAGAAGATAAAACTGACTGCAATCTGGATGACATTAGGTTGTACGAGTTCCACCTTTGTGAGTTCTTTATCAATGCATGCAACCTTACACCATATCCACCTTTGTTACAAGGGTTGAGTTGGCATAAGGTTGTACAGAACTATGGGAGGGTCAGAAGGGCAAAGATAATTATTTTAAACCTTGAAAGGACATGATTAGATATAGGAGGAAAAAGGGATAACAAAATGAGAAAGGTTATATATCATTTGAGACTAAGCGTTGTTGGATGAATATTTTTCCTGGCTGTTTTTTTTTGGGGTTAAATACACCAGAGGACATATATCACATTCTCTAGGATCTCATTGATTAACATGAGAATATAATGAATTTAGGACTAGCATGCAAGTCCTAGAAACTTTTGGGCCAATATGTGAAATACTATACCACACTTTTTGAAACGCAACCCTATACCCTTTGTTGGGTTTAGTCTGCATAATTGTTAATACTTTTGAATGTGTCCTAGAATTGATTTGTCCAGTGATTCCTCTGTTTTAATCAGGACTTATCTTTAGGTTATTTATTGATTACCATTAAAGGTGAATTTGACACGATTTTAAATACTGGTCAGTGAGGTACATGTGACCTGAATCTTGTTGGTAGTATTTATTATTATATTTCGGTCTGGTATACTGGTACTGATTATTGTAATTGATACTGGATCGAGATTTAAATCCTTCAAATTTGAACTAGCTGTGTTATGACATGTTCCTCTAAGAATATCTTGCTGGTTATAATTCTCTCAGTGCATCAAGCTCCATCCTGCTATATGCCTCAACATGCATCCACATCATCAAGGCTAGATAATATGCTTGGCAATGGAGGTTTTTCCTGTGCTTTTTTAAATGGTAGGCCATCAGGACAAGGAGGAAACTACCTTGGCGATGATTCCTCAATTCTTGCTGGGAGCATGAATGCCTCGACAAGCATGTTATCTGCACCTAGCTCCAACATGGGAAGAATTCCTGGGATCAGTCGGACAATAATCAAGTCAGAACATGATTATTCAAACAACTCTGAGTTTCCATTCAGTAATGATAGCAGTATCTTGGAAGCACACCAACCAACCGGAGATGCTTCAGCTGGATCCTTCAGTAGCTCGGAGTTGACTGGACAACCACTAAATGATGCTCTACTGGATATCGATACATCTTCACTTGGATTTAGTCAGATTACTCGAAATTTCAGTTTTTCAGATTTAACAGATGACTTCACTCACTGTGCTGGTATGTATTTTAAATGACTTGTAAGTAAAAGTTTTTTCCCCTTTATATGGTCTATTTAATCCATTCAATATCTTACCTTTGTTTTCTTTTGTTTAAAGATATATTGGAGAATTATGATAGGTCTCCATATCTTCCACCAGATTCAAATAACTTCTCAGACTCTCCGGCGAGGGAATTCAAAGGTAACTTTGCTGTATCTCTCTTGCCCGTTTCTTTTATTTTGTGCATCTTTCCACCTTGAGTTTCTTCTGTTTTTTCACCCCCATTCAGAGGAAGACATTAGGAAACTAGAATCCATATCCGAAGGAGTCAGTTATGAGGACTTTGGAAGCGACTCACTTGACATCTAAGGTCTGTTGCCGAGGTAACTTCCTACCTCGTGTAGAAACACCACCACAAAGAAGAAAACAAAGAAATTAACAATCACAACAACTAGCATCATCATCTTGTAGAAAATTTCCACTAACCTGTTATGTATAATCTTCCACAATGCGTAGTCAAACTTATTGTTATTTTTCTGTTTCCTGGTTTCCTGAGGAAGAAGCTTCTTTGGGAAATTATTTATATATATCAAACTCATGCACAAGCTTAAGAAGACCAAATCCGTTTTGTAGAGTCAGATGCCATTTCTAGTAGAGAAAACAGTAGAATAACTAGAAAACATTATTCTTGTTCTTATACGTTCTGCAAATTATGCTGTAGGTTGACCGCAGGAATCTGTACATATGGGATTGACGGGGTCTTTATTCTTCACATTTCAGTGGAGCATTCGATATCTACTTAACGAGTGCTTCACAGTTGCTAATGCTTGCTGGCTATTCTAACGTTCTGTAATAATGTTTCTACGTAAACAGAAAAAACTGCTGTGTTCTCGTGTGTTGATCCTGATTTGTTTCATTTTGATTCGTAAGTCTGCTGCCACCGCAAGAACCACAAGAAATAAGAATCACGAGGGCTGTTTTGTTATCGAGCTTCAGATGCTGGGCTTCGCCCGCTGTTTATACGACCATATTTTGGCTCCTTATTCCATTATTTTCATAATCTAATAAGCTCTGCTTTGGCTTAGTGTGGTCAATTCATAATTTAGGAGAATTGAGGGGTTTAGTTTGGTCAAGCCGGAATACTAGGGGATAGCTGGAGGAGAATTATTGAGGGATCACATGTGAAAAGCTTGTTATAGATGTTAGCGTGGCCAAAGTCTCGGACTGTGTGTCAGGAGATATAATAATAAGGTAGGTCGGCGGGTCACACTTGTGGGTGCCAAGTGGGAGGGGAAGCCTTTCGCCTAAAATATAATAATAATAATAATAATAATAATAATAATAATAATAATAATAATAATAATAATAACTTGATTTATTTTGCAAATTATTTAGAAGGGTTCCTAAAATTTTAAAAATTCAAAAAAAAATAAAACGTGAGTTAGAATCATTATATTATTTTTATATAGGATCCGAAAAATAATATTAAGCTTATATCTTCAAGATTTATTTATTTATTTGTTTCCTTAAGACATTAAAAAAAAATTCTTCTACAATAATATTCAAGTTGTGATAAATTCACCTTAAATGTGTAAAATAAAAAAATGATTTTTTATTATATATAAGTTTAAAAATTTTTAAAAAAATATTTAATGGATTAAAAGTAGAAAAATAGTCATTTAGGTTATTTTCAAGAAATCGCATAAATTTAATTATTTTTTTTAAGAAAAGGGAAATGGAAGTTACATTATTTTTTAATGGGGTTACACTATTTTTATATAGGACCCAAAAATAATATAACCTAATTAAAAAACAATGTAGCTTAGATTTAAAAAAAAACTTTGTTGTGTCCTTAAAATCTCAAAAAATGGTCTATAGTAATAGTCAAGTGTCTTTGCCCCAAAGTTATGGTAAATTCATCTTAAATCGGATAGAATAAAACATTATAATTTACACTTTAAATTACAAAAACTATTTTAATAGCTTATAAATCGAAAAAATATTATTTAGACACTTGCTTGTTTTTTGTATGTCTTTTAAAAAAATTAAAAAATTTTAAAAGAGATGACATGTTTTTGGATAAGATTATGTTGTTTTTGTATAGGATCCCAAGAATAATGCAACCTAATTCAAGTCTTCAAATTTTTTTTATATCTTAAAAACCTCAGAAAACTTTCCATAGCAATATTTGAGTGGTTTTCATCTCAAATTTATGGTAAATTTAAAAAAATATAAAAATAATTTCACTCTTTTAAATGATTGAAATAAATAAAATATATCTATTTTGATGTCTTGGAAATACAAAAATAATCATTTAGATATTTATAAGTTATTTTCAAAGAAAATTTAAGAATTTCTACAAAAAAAGATCGATGTGAGTTATACTATTATGGGTTTTGTATAAAAATAATGTAACATAGGTCTATTATTATCCAAAAAAATACTAAAATGTGCATAAAATTAACAATATATAATGAAATGCTAATTGACCATTTTTCTATTTTCAGTAATTAAAAGACTTATTTGTGATTAATTCAACTCCTAAAATTTTATTTTTAAAAAAATTAAGTTAGAGAGTACAAAGGTTATTATTGTATCATTATTTTTGTCCTAATTTGATTGTTTTTATAATATTTATATTTATAAATACGAAACCGTGAATAGGAGGGAAACAAATAAAATTAAGGCTTTTCTAATTAAGCTGCCAAACGAATGGCAAATGTGGGGCCCATATGGACAGCTCATATATCGTCGGCCACGTCAATATCCAAGTAATGTACCCAGAGAACCTGCCACGTAAGTTGGAAATCCGCACCATTGACAGACTGCCACCCGACCCGAACTCCGAAAGGGTTAGTGATGGCGTGGGTCCCGCAATTGCAGGCAGGGTCCACGAAAATGGACGAGTATGACTCGGTGTTTGAATATTTGAATTTAAACGTAGTCTTGGAGAGGATCCACAACACGGTCGGCTGGTCTCAAATAACGCATCCGAGCCGCTCCTCTCTCTCTCTCTCTCTCTCTCTCTCTCTCCCGTCGACTAAACCGGGGCTAGATTCCATTTCTCCTTCAGCATCGCCGGGCCGGTGATAGATAGGAATCGGTAGGCGGGATCGCCTGAATCGCTCCTGTCGGCGGTTCGCCTGAATGGCCCTCCTTGCCTCCACCATACCCACCGAGGTCTGTGGACTCCCAACCCTAGCCTCGCCTTTTTTTCTTCTGTTTGTTGGAAGGCATTTGATTATGTTAAGATGCTGCTGGAGGTTGTTTGAACTCCGATGATAATGTTTCTTGGTGTCTTTATATCATGATTTATCGTATATTAATCGATCTAAATAAAAATAGCATGTTTTTTTTACGGTTAATTGGTATTTGAAATCTTTGCCCATGGTATTGATATCTGAAGATTCAGTCAAGAAGCACGGGTTTCATCCATCTAAAAGTTGAAAAGTGATTCTATTAGCTAGAAGATGCATTAATTTGTACTTATAATCCAGAAAAGGATGTCCAATGTTCAATTAGTTGACTACAGTGGTAGTTTGATGATGATCATGGTTATTGGAGATGGAAAGGACATGGTTCACATTTTGGTCTGAAAAAAAATAACACATGTGGTGCAGAGGTTATTAGCATACGGCTATTACTTGTTTCTTACCTAGTTATAACTTCATGGATTCGAAATGAATTTGGTGATTACTGCATATGAGTGAAGGCACTAACGGAAATCAACTTTGAAATACATTTCACTTATTTGTTCACCTATTTATTTCATTTGCTTGTCAATTTGGTTTTATTGAAATAAGGTAGTCTGGTTATGACTTATTTTACCTTTATATTTGAACTGGTTAATTGATGGTAATAACAAAGACATTCACCACACAAGTGGCTCCCTTGTTCTTTGTGTGGGAATCTTCCAACAGTTTAATGCCTACATTAGTGAACTCTTTCATTGAAATAATTTTTAAATGTAACCTTATATGATCCTGCTTAAGATTAAGGATAGGATGCTATTTTGCTGCATTTTATTCAACATTTTGAATATTATTTATTATTTAATTCCAATAACACTAGATTTCTGTAATATGGTGATGCAATCCCGTGCCTAGAACTTTTTCTATTATTTCTCACTCTAAGATCAACCTCTCCATGATGAATGATTCTACTACTGTAAATGGTTCAGTGTTTATAGTTTGTTTAGAACAATCAAAAATTGCAATTTCTGTATATGGGTCTGGTACAAACTGCATACTAACTCATGGTGCAATGGTACGTGACACGGTCCAGCAAATTCCCATGCCTGATTTATACTATTAATTGTCATTCACATGGATTCTAATAAAATAGGATTTGGAAATAAGAATTCACAAGTTATTTGAATACTAACTATGAGAATCAAATAAACACTATTAAAACTAGCTAAATTGCCAATGAGTTTGTATACATTGAAACTGTTTGTTGTAAAAGCTTGTCTTTAATCTAAACTAATATGATTCAGTCTATGCTTAAGAAAACAATAGATTGCAATAAATGCAACTTAAATATTTAATTTACTTGTGCAATTGATATTGTCTTTGTGCCTACAGATGCTTGAAACATTACTCTACTCAAGCTCTTTACCAGCTTTTGTAGGTGAATATATAGTTATGTTGTTACTAATTCTTTTTTCTGAAACTCTTGTGACATATCAGATTAATTATTCTACTTTTGAGTAATATTTATCGAGTCACTAATTGTCTATTGTCTTGTCTTGAGCTCATAAATCAGATATATTCTGCAGGTTGGATTGCGGTTGCTGTTATGTCCTCTTACTTCTAACATTGTTACTAGAACAGCTTGGTGAGCTTTAATACTTCTTACTTCATTAAATGGAAAAAAGTAGGAACATTTTCTCTAAAAACTCCAGAATTCCTAAATAAAAAACTTAGAGTGCCATGTGATTCTAATCCTAACTGCCACTGCTTCGTCCCTTAAAAAGTCAACTGTTGACTCTGGTTCTTAAGAGGTCTTCTTAGAGCATCTCACTATCTCATGTCCATGACAGTCTAGATGTGTCACCTTGGTTTCATGATGTGGTCCATTTCTTCGTCATACCAGCCTAACCTAGCACTTATGGGACCACTATTATATCTTTGTGATTAAGTTGCAAGTTATCTAAAAGTTGCAAAGAATTTCATTCTATATGAGATGCTTGTTTTAGGACAGTTTGTGTTTTATTGGCTTTAGGACAGTTATCTAAAAGTTGCAAGGAATTAATTGCATCCATTATATTAGTAGCATTAATGTATTGTTAATCAAGTTATTTATAAATTATAAGAAATCAGCAATTGAAGTTATTAAATTGCTTGGAGAATCCTTCAAAAGCTCTTATTGATGAAATATTTTTTATTATGATAAATGAACATTGAATTAGACTTGTAAATCTTTCTTATCTTTCTCATGATGGAGGTGGAGGATGAGTATCAAAGGACGAGGTGGCAGCAGTGGCACAACAAGGAGGAGGTGGTGGCAACGTGATGAGAAGGAGGTGGAGAAAAAAAGAGGAAGAGAGAGAGAGGATATAACAATTGTCTAATTGCTATTTTTTAATAAATACAGGTGTTGGGCAATAGGCTTACCATGCATACCATTTGGTATTGGAATATTTACCACTTGATAAGCCCGATACGGGGAGCCTACTGGATTTTTAACCTGTATCAGACCGAACTGGGCAAATGCCTGATATGTATCCCGATTGGCTGTTGTGTCAAGACATACAAATCCATACCGATATGTATTTTAATCCTTGCTGTCGACAATTGGTAAGCCTTCTAAATGAGATAGTCAATGAGGTATAGCATTTGGCTTCTTGAATCCTATGAGGTATCCCTGTTATGTTCTAAGAGCCTGAGGCCACATCTCGAGAATCTTGACTAAGAACCCTCTTGGTAACCGGAGCTAAACCTTGAGTCTAGAATGCTAGTTTTAGGTTGAACTCTGCTCTGGCAGACATGGACTTACCTTGCTCATGCAAATTAATCATATTTTAACCAACCATATCTGTATTGTGGTTTCGACGGAGATCCTCCCTAGCTAGAGTTTGTCAGATCTTTGCCTCCATTACCAGCTATTCCTAGTGGCCCATCTACATGCTCTCATCTAGTTGCCTAACACAAATGTTAGAGCAGATCTTGTTGGAGGCAACTCTGGAGTCTGTATAAGTAAGTTTGTGTTTTTGGGCCACTAGCCTTGTAGACTCAACTTCCTCCTTTTGGGGGACCTATCTAACTGTCCTAGGAAGACCAACATGTGGCTGTTGACTTGTTAGAGACTCTATCTTATGCTTTCAGTGTGACGACAACTATGCATATCACAAACCTATAAACCATTGTGTTAAATTTACAACCACCACTGCATGGGCTATGAGGAAGTTTGATTTCTTGGCCCTGTGCAATTTATTGTTGGACTGGTTTGAACATTGATGAATTTTGCTTTTCAAGCATCAATTTATCTTCATATATAATTTTCATCTTCTTTTGGTTTCTATGTAGGATATGTTCTGATTTTTTGTGATCTATTTTACTGTTTTTACATCTAGATGTTGGTGCTGATGTTAGCTATCTGTATGCTGCATTAGCATAGGAGTGGTTTTATGATAGGAAAGATTACTTTTTAGTGCTTAAATATTGAACATAGTTTGGTTACATGTTTTCCCTTTCGCCTCAGTGAATGAGCTCTGTATAATATTTCCTTTTTCTTTGGTTGTGCAGCTGCACAATAGGGATTGGTTTGCCTGTCTACTCTACTTTCAAGGCCATAGAGAATAAAAATAGGAATGAACAAGAAAAGTGGCTTCTCTATTGGGCAGGTTGGTAAATAGTTATATTATGTTTTGTTACTCTTGACACTTAATGTGTACATGTGTCCTCTTTTCTCTTAGTCCCTTTCTCATATAAGTTGTACATGTGTTTTTTTTGTTTTTTGTTTTCACCTCCTTGTTGTTATTGTAAATAGATGATTCAGAGGCACAAAATTGAGGATTTTATCCAAGACTTGTTGTTCCAGCTTCAGATGGACACTATCTTGTCATGTTAATAGTTACATTATGTACTCGATCATGACTTGTTTTGAGGTGTGTTTATCAAACCCAAAGAACTGTCAGAAGCTGACACATATCCAATCTTCACTTATTCTTAACACGCCATCAAGAATTTTGATTATGGCCTGCCTAATCTTTTAAATGAAATAACTGTGAAGAAATATTTTTTTGGCAACACTTTTTTGTTACCTACTTTAACTTTACCACAGATCGATAAGCAAATTATATGCTAAAAGGTCCTGTAGATGATTCTCTACAACAGTCTTTCAAAATTATTTCCTTGTCTGAATATTTGTTAGAACTTAGAAGTCAATTATAATTGCTCTATGAATTTTGAGCCTGATGTCTGTCAAGTTGGATCAATATTTTATTGCTTTATTACTTTAAGCAATAAATGTACTGTCTGTCAAGTCAGATACTCTATTTGCTTTAGTGTCATTCTCATACAAATATTAAGAAGCATTCATATACACAATTAAAATATTTAATGTAAACAAAATATAGATCTTTGTGGACCTTAGTCGAATCCACATTATTTTAAGTTGGATCTAGCAGTTGCAAATTAGATCTAGACAGATCTAGTCCAGATTTACCTGGATCTTGGTTGGGTTGGCACAGAATTCGGCTGAATTCATGTGGATCTGCCTTAGATCCATCCAGATTTACGGAGGTTCCATGTAGATCCAAGAAACTCTAGTACACACAAATCCAACCTAAACTACAGATATCTGACCTACATTTTAGTTTATCCATGCTAGAAATGCATAAATCCAATTAGCCTAGATTCAAGTAGATCCATGGTAGAAATGTTTAAAACTAGCTTCAACTGAATAGGGAATGCAAGATTGGAGCATGAGAAATTGATAATCAATCATGTAGGTTCAATTTGAACCACAAGCGGCAAAATAGCTTCAAATGAACCAAATAAGCAAAATAACTAGTTCAAAAAAGCTTTGGAATTACTTTAATTTGAAGACAATTTCAAGAATCGTTGATATCTAATTTTGATTTGACCAAAAACCTTGAGGTTTAGCTGAGAACAAGAAAATTAGAGGAAACATGTGAGAAAATAAGAAAAGAGAGCTGCTGAAGGGTTGAAATTGGGTTCTGAAGATAAGATGAATTTGGGAACCGGGTAAGAATGGTCACCACCCAGGACATTGGGCTTACAGGTACACTTATTTGATGGTAAGACAGCTATGGTCGATGTACAGAGCATACCAAAGTTCTGACTTGTTTCATTTGATAGATATATATTTGGGTGTCGGACCAGTCTTCAAATCCTTTATCCCACTCTTCCATTTTTATGACCATCAATTCTATTTTAAAATAAATTGTCATTTGCTTTACTAGTTATGTAGATTGGTGGTAGCATAAGTAACAACAACAACAAAGAAACAGGAAGTGATGTTCCAACTTCCAAGTATTTGGGGTTGGCTATATGGATCTTTAGTCATCATTGAGCTTTATACAAGTTAAAATCCTTAGTTAAATTAAGAGTATTTAAATTTTTATTTATAGTTTTGGTAAAGTTCTTTATTATTTAGAGTAGTTCCAAGATAACTAGCATATTTGTTTTTAAACATGCAGTATACGGATCTTTTAGTCTGGTGGAAGTGCTCTCTGACAAATTTCTTTACTGGTATATTTCTTTTTATGAAATTTTTGTTTGAATATATTAATCCTTTTGAATGAAGGTTCCTTTTTTCCATTCTCTAACTTAGGGTTTTGGTTTGTGGTTGATGCTTACAAGATGTTCAACATATTATTCCGTTCCAAGTTTGTTTTACTCCTTTCTATTTGATAGTTGGTGCAAATTTGAACACATTAATTTTCTTTGAAGACATGATAAAATTGAATGATACTAAGAAAATTGGTGTGCCACCTGCGAAAGGATAATACACAAACCGAGAAATGGTTTAAAGTTTTAACTTGTAGGAGTAAGGCTACATAAGTTGACCTTTCTTAGGCTCTGTATTGGCTAGAACCTGTGTGTACTAGGGTTACTCTTTTAGTTGGTGCAAATTTTACAGAACAAATGGATTCAATATCGAATCTCTTTATGCCTTACTTAGCTTGTGAATCATCAGCATTTAAATTCTTTATTTCAGGTCTATATTTGACAAAAATCTTAGTAATCAAGACTTATCAGATGAAATGTGTATTTAGGTCTACATTTGCTTTCTTTCTGCATACTCAGTGCTATCTCACCTTAGCTCTCTTAGTAGCATCATCTTCCTCCCTACCTTTGAGCACTCTATTTGTTGCTTCAACTGCTATTGACCCACAAGATTTTCATTTTTCCAATACAGTTCCATCCATAGTTATCAGAACTGTTAGATACCAACCTATCTGACTGGTAAAACCGGGAACTCAGAATAAACTGCAGACCTGGTTGGTTCTTGTGCAAACTGTTTGAAATGGTTACGTTGAGAAAAACTGGGGACGTTCATTAAAGACTAAATGTCCTGATCTCCATTCCCTACTCCCAATAGTATTGCCATGCCTTTTTTCTGATCATGTCATCATCCTTGAAAGGTCAGATTTCTTTGATGCCCCCACTACATCCCACTGGTTGATGAGGAATAGGAGAGGGGTTGATGGTGCAGGAGAAGAGGTGGAAGATGGAAATAAAAAGGAAGAAAGAAAGATAAGGAAAGGAAAAAAAAAGATAAGGAGAAGTATAAACAAAAAAAGATAGCAACAAGGTTAGATAAAATCAGAAAATATTATGTTTACTATATGTTGTGTATCCATGCTATTTTTTATAATTTTACTAAACCATGCATTGAACAAATTGATCAAACAGTAATATACTGGACCAATTGGGTTTGATAAGCTACCGAACCCAGTATTGAACCAAGATTTAAAACCTTGGTTATGATAACTATTTTCTCATCCATTAGGCAAGTTGGGCTGGGTTAACCAGTTGAGTTGCTGCTGTAAGTTTTGGTCGATGATTCTTGACCCCTCAATAGGTCATTTCTGGTCTGGTTGGTCGTGTGACCAAAGCCTAACCCAACTCATAATGTTGACAGCTGTTAGAGAAACTACTCAATAACCGTATATAAAATCGACCTTATAACACACCCCCTAATACTGGAAACAAGTGTGTAAATTGCAGGGATTGTTTATACCAAAATAACCAAAGAAGTGTGTGTGGTCCAGTTAGTTTTCTTCATGTGAGCCTGTGAGGTAACTCAATGGCTGTATTAGAGGCCTTTATAATGTTCTTAGTTCTTAAACTATTATGTTTCATCTGCTTAGCTCTTTTCAGATTGGGAACCGGGTAATGTTTTTAGTCAGCTGCACTTAAAGGTTGATAAGTAGCTGAAAATGTTGTTCTCTTTTGATGATATAACAGTTCTTTTAATGCAGCATAAAATTATGGCTGAATTCGAAATCATGTAAATTCTGTACATGATCAAATTTGGCTGAAGTTACGTGAAATGATTTATTCTTGCTGCTCTTATCTTGTATAAAATATCAAAAACAATCTAACTTATATTATCTATTGACTATGTGCTCTGTTTTTTCTTTTTTACTTTTTGCCATTAGTTCTGCTTTTAGGAATCTTACACTGAACTTGCTTGAAAGATGTTCAATATGTCAATCTGGTCATTTCATTTTCTGCAGGTGTCCGTTCTACTACCACATTAAGTTTGCCTTCCTTGTTTGGCTACAACTTCCGTCTGGTTATGTAAGCAAATCTGCACTAGTACATCTACAATATCCAAATTTTCTTGTCTACTGAAATAACCTCATTACATTCATGGCCTTGAAATAGAATTATTTTTTGAAACATGTTGTTGCTTTTAGTCGTTTAGAAAAATAACCATGCAGGATAAGATATGGACATGACTTCTACATAGTAAAAGTCTGGGAACTGTGATATAGACTTGGGCGATGATTCCTTTTGGATGTAGAGCAATTTTGGTGTAATTAAGATCCTTGATCCCTAAGTCCCCTTCCAATTTTTAATGTAGAGAATTTTAAATGTCTGATTTCCTTAATGGTTTATTGCTGGCTACCAAATTCAGCAACCATATGCCATCTGCATGTTTTGCCACTTTATTGAAAATAATCAATTTGATTTTCAAATTTTAGGACAGAAGGATTAATAACTATCAATTCTTGAGCATTAATTATTACTCTATGCATCAATGCTGGTTGACTTATTTAGTGCCTACAGTTATCTTTCTACATTTATCTAGTTGGGAGTCTGACAACCATCGTTTCCTTTATTCTTACAGGGATCAAAATATTTATATGCAAAACACCTGCGACCATTCCTACTGAAACATCAAGCTAAAGTTGATCAACTTCTTAACTTCTTGTCCCATGAAATTGTATGTTTCTTTCCATGCAAAACACCTGCGACCATTCTTTTTCTTGACGCAAGTATTTTTGGAACTCTTTACCGAGTCATTCCTTTTGCTACATGGTTTGACAAGGGATCTGTTATTTTGTAAGTAATGATGTGACCTATTTTTTACATGGGAATTGTTGATAAACAACCATGCAGAGTATCACAATAGTCATCTTTGTTGATATATGCTCAAAATCTTTTTCATAATTATAAGTGTACTAGGAACAGATATTTATGTAGAGCAGTTGATCTTGGATGCTTAAGGCTATCCTTTAAGGACAATGATGGGATTGCTATATATTAAACTAGTCAGGAGATCGAATTCAGTGCCATTAATATGCTGCTCCTAAAGTATGCTTCTTGAATACTTTCAAGATGGTAATAAATCTATACTTTTCCTAAATTTCAGGAGAAGTTCGTTAGCAATCACCAAGGAGAAATCCAGTTAGTGAAGGCTGTGGTTCTGAGATGTGCAATGACAGGTAAAAACACCTTTCATCTTACAAAAGCAACATAAAATTAGTAGGTTCTGCACTTTGTTATTCTTTTGCACATGATATTGAACTATATGGAACATTTAAGTTGAGGGAAGCTCCTCCAAGGGTCTTTTCTGTCCAGGTTATTTAACTCTCTTTAGACCTCTTCCATGTCTTTTTTTTTTATCATAAACATTCTTCCATAATCATTCCTAATGTGTCAAAGAGTTACAAATATTTATTTGAGAACAATGGCACTGTTTCTTATCTGACATGTCAAAGGAAATTTGGAAGCAGTGGGAATTATGTGCTCTTCATGGTTGACATTCTACCATTCATACCTTATGTTACTTCATGGTGGCAATTTTCCACCAATTGGACCTATCATATGATGTAGTTGTCTTGAAATATCATTTATATGTTTGAAAAGTTATTCTGTTTTCTCTCTATGCCAGCAAATCAGATGGTGAAGGATATCACCAATCCAGGGCAACCGCATGGCCAAAGCACTATTGGGGGTCCAAACACGCAAATGAGTGTGCAATCCCAGGATTCAGGTTCTGACACTGATTCTGACACTGCAAACTGACTGCATTCCGATCAAATATTTTTCCGTGGATATCATCATCTAGTTAAGCCCAGAATCAATGCTATAGTTTCAACCTGTTCATACTTTCAGTTACGCAGAATGTAAATCTGTAGGTTTATTAGTGACAAGTATGTGCTCAATTTACAGCATGGACCTTTCTATGTGATAGGTTTGGACAACCATGCCTTGAGTGCCCTTTTTTTCTGTTCCAACTTCAGGTGTCTGAAGGTCCAATAATTAATAGCTTAGTTTTTGATATAAAAAAATGGTATTTGGTTATTCTCAACTGGAAATTCTTGTATGTAGTTTTTTTTTATTTCAAGTGTTGGCATATTAGATCTAATTCGAGTCCATGCGCATGTGCTACAGTAATTTACTGGAACTTAATGCTTGCAAGTGATCTACTTGGCGCAACCCAAAAATTAAAAATAAATTACAGTGTTCTCTTCAGGAAGGATTCTTCCTAAGGTTGCAGAGTTCCTAGAAGAAAACAAAAAATAAACACTGAACAAGTACTTAAAATGTGTTCTATCGGAATTCCTTGACATGATAGCCTATAAAAAATGTGCTTGTGTTGCCCGAGCTTTCTATTAGAAAGAATAAATTTTAGTGCCTCAATCACATATTTCACTGTGTGTTTTGTGGTTCATTTGCAATATTGATCTGCTTGATCTTTGAATGACTAGATTCTCCAGTTCTTTTTTTTCAAGGAAAATATCAACTTTCAATTACATAACTGGGACCGAAAATTACTAGATTCTCCTCATGAGATTGGAAAGAACAAAATAAAAAAAAACCTTGCTTGATTGGTAAGGTTGTGACCGACAATGCTCAAAAGGTAAAACAACCACAGATTTAGCCAGTTTAAATATATCTTTACAGATATTTTGCAGGTGCTAAAGAGTAGGCCTTGATCTATATATTACAAAGCAACACAGCCTAGAGAATCAGATTTGACTATGATGAGAGGCTTTGGTAAGTGCATCCAAATAGCCCACCACTCTGACTAGATTATTCAGTTATTGCATGGTTTATGTGCTAGAAATTTAACTTATTCAGTTATTTGATTGTTTATGTGCTAGAAATTTAGATTATTCAGTTACTGGATAGCTTATGTGCTTGAAATTTTAGAAGACTAGCCCCAGTCAGTACATTGTTCCTTTACAATTTGAAGACTATATGCATATATTGACCATCCTGCAATCAATCTCTAAACCTATATGTTTTCCCATGCGGATCAAGTCAAACCCAGATACAAATCAACAAGTATGTTCTCCTGCCACCCATATTTATCCCTTCAGAGTTTTAATGAAGCTGGGTAAAGTTTTCTGGAACTTCAACCGTGTCTAAAAATTCGCCATTAATCCCTTGAGATTTTACATTGAAAACTAGGAAATAATACCTGGTAGGTAACTATTGTTGATGCATGCATTAAACCTCATGGTTGATTCAATCTCGATAGATATGAACATTAGCGTGGATTTTTGGTAGCAAATTAGAGGAGCACAAGTGCCAATATCACAAATCCTTAATCTGCCCTGCCCCAAGTAGCAACATCAGATGTTTGCCAACGCCATTATTAAGTTGATATATGGAATCCTCCTTGGCCTTCCCATTATCGAACAATTTTTAGTCTCCAGGAAAACAAATATCCGTACATGATTTCAAGAATCCATATAGTATTGAAACGCAAATTTTGGGTGCTATATTATTGGATATAAGCTAAGATTTTGATCAGTCCATTATTATAGGAGGAGAAGGAGAAGCTTTAAAAGAAATAACAGTGTTGTTGATGCTAATCAACTATTTATTGTTCCTTTTGGGGATTAGAATTCGTTTTTTCCTATTATTTCTTGTAACCGAAAGAAAATAATTGGTTCCACATACGTTTTGAAGAAACCGATGGAAGTCTTCATATATCACTCCCAATAAATGTCAGCTTATCCTTTGAGTCACATCATTTTGAAGTTCAAAATCATCTCAGATCATCCGTTTCTCTTTTTGGGCTTTTCTCGTGGGTGTAGTAGTGATGATCCAAGTCAACTCAACTCGACTTGGGTGCTTACACCGATCGAGTCAACTCGAATGACCCAAACCCATCACTCACGTTTGGTCAAACCAAGGAGAGTGTGGGCCCCCTCCCCCCAGCTAGCTCATTCCTCATCGCCAGTACGGTTGACTTAATCCTCGGAGTCAAACCGTACATCCATACCACGAGCGGCTTCCATTCCGCGCTTCGAACCTTCCTTGTCTGTATGTCATTGATTGGATTTTGAGGAATCGTTCGGTGTGAACGTCTTTAAACTTCCAAATTTTACAGTGGATCAGATCTCCTCATAACGTCGCCACGTCACCACGTCACCGTCTTCTTCCTCTCCGACCCCCGCAATCTCCATTCCGAATCGCGACAGAATCACATCTCACTCATAGATTTGTTCATATCCATTTATTTCTTTCTCGTTACTATAAATCCACGGCCTCCTCCTCCTATAAGACCGTGACTGCAATCGCAGGTACTGTCGAAGGCCTTCCCTGAGCGCAGACATGTGCGGCGGAGGTAGCTGTCGTTCTCGCTCGCGACAGAAGACATCTCCTCCCCCTTCCCCGATCGAACCCTTGGGCATCATCCGACGAGCTCTGGGCAATGCTATCGTCTCCGGAGACGACGGCGAGCATGGCTTTGCGTCGACCTTGAAGGTGACGGAGAAGAAGAAGAGGGAGTACCCCGTCGACCCCTTCCTTCCCGACCTCCGAATCGACGACGGCATCTACAGTACCGACGAGTTCCGCATGTTCTGCTTCAAGGTGTTGCCGTGTACGCGGGCGTACGTCCACGACTGGACGGCGTGCCCCTTCGTTCATCCCGGCGAGACGGCGAGGCGTCGGGATCCGATCAAGTACCGGTACGCTGCCTGGTTCCCGTGCCCCGCCTTCCGCCGAGGCGGGTGCACCAGGGGCGACTTGTGCCGGTTCGCCCACGGCGTCTTCGAGCGCTGGCTTCACCCCACGCAGTACCGCACGGTGATGTGCAGGGACGGCGGCCGCTGCGCTCGCCGCGTCTGCTTCTTCGCCCACACATCCGAACAGCTTCGCGCAGCGCCGGTGCTGCTGCGTCTCCCTGGACTCCATGATTTCTATGCCACCGGAATTCACATCCCTTTTGGTGAATCTTCCGCGCAACTGATAGACCAAACCCACCTTGTCCCCCCCTTCGCCGCGGACATATCTTCGCCCACAAGGTACGACTCCGATCGACTCAGTCCGCGGCCGCCGCAGCAGCAGCAACATCACAGCTTGTACCCGAGCATCGACGCCAACGTATCCAAGTTCCCTTCTTCCCTACAGGGCTCGGCACTCCCGATCACGCCACCAGATGTGAGCTTCCGCCTCGGTGCTCGAGACCACCAATCGCCTTCGCCAATCTTTTCCTGGTCCAGCAAGTGGGCAGCTCCATGCGAGGTGGACGAAGACGAAGTGCTCGGAGGGTTGTTGGGTCGGTCGCCGTGGGCCGAGGAGCCCGATGTTTCCTGGGTGCAGTCACTGGTCGGCCCGCCGGAGGTGAAGGTGAGAAATGAGACGAGGAGTAGCTCGGCCGGCACGGATACGGATGAGTGCATGACTTCATGCATCTGCGAGGCGTGGCTGCAGGAATGTATGCAGATTGAGCCTCCCCCTCCCCCGAAGCATTAGTAATCCGCACATCCTCTGGTAGACTTTACGGAAGAATGATTGACCATAACGCTTTTGTTAATACATTTCAGAGTATTTTTGCTAAGCCCTTCACGTACTCTTTCCCCATAATGTAGCAAGATAATGCCTTTCATGAAATATATATTTTTTTGTGGCTTGAGAAATTAACACCAAACATTATATATATATATATATATATATATATATATATATATATATAAAATTTACGTGACTTATTTTTAAGATTACTTTTAAGAAAAAAAATTAAAATACGGATATTTTCCCCAAAAAACATGCATAATAGAATCATCGCTATCCGCGTTATGGTAGTGAGCGGCCCTCGTTGTGAACGAGCGGGTAAGGCAAACGACCGCATTAGCCATGCGGCCATTCCTCGCGCGCCCCACCGCGCCCCTCGACATCGCCGACTCCACCCTCGCCCTCCTCCCCCGATGCCGCACCCACCGCGATGCCCGTCAGCTCCACTCCCGCCTCGTCACCACCGGCCTTCTCCTCTGCCACCCATCCATCCTCCTCCGCCGCCTCTTCGCCTCCCCCCACCCTCCCCTCCGCAGCCTCGCCCGCCGCATCTTCTTCTCTCTCCCCGCCGCCGACGACCGGCCTTTCCTCTGGAACGCCTTCATCGGCGCTTCCCGCGACGGAGGCGGTGGACCCCGGGACGCCGTCCTGGCCTTCGCGCTCATGCTCTTCGACGGCGTCGCCGCAGACAAGTTCGCCTTGTCGCTGGCACTCAACGCCTGCTCCCGCATACCTTCCCTCCGAGAGGGCTCGCAGATCCACGCCCTCCTCCTCAAAAGCGACCTCGCCTCCAATCTCTACCTCCAGAACGGCTTGATCGCGCTCTACTCCAAATGCGGGTTGCCTGAGATTGCGCGACGAGTGTTCGACAGGATTACCGTAAGGGACGCGATCTCTTGGAATTCGATAATAGATGGGTACCTCAAGGATGGGAACGTGGTAGCAGCCCAAAAGCTCTTCGATGAAATGGATAATGGCAAAAAGAATACGGTGACTTGGAATACGATGCTTGGTGGCTACGCAGCATCCATCGACAGGATTGATGTCGCTCGTGAATTATTCGATTCAATGCCCGAAAGAGACTTGGTTTCTTGGAATCTGATGATCGACGGCTACATCAAGTGCGGGAGGTTGGTCGATGCACAGGACTTGTTCGAGCGAATGCCTGTGAGGGATGTCATATCTTGGGCTACTATGATTGATGGTTATACAGGAATCGGGCGCATCGACTTGGCCAAACAATTCTTCGAGCTGATGCCAGAGAAGGATGTCGTCACTTGGAACATCATGATGGATGGCTATGTCAAGAACGGACGTCACCTCGAAGCCTTGAATCTCTTCACTGAGATGCAAGCGAAAGGCAACCCTGCTCCCGATATAACCACTCTAGCAACAGCTCTCACGGCGATTGCGGAATTGGGTCGTGTTGATGATGGGATAGCCATTCATGATTATATTGAGAGGACCAAATTGGCTTTAGATGGTCAGCTGGGCGTGGCGCTGGTCGACATGTACTCAAAATGTGGTCGATTGGAGGATGCCTTGAAGGTGTTCGAGACTTCAGGAACAAGTGTGGATCACTGGAATGCCATGATCGGTGGTTTGGCCATTCATGGGCGTGGCAATTTGGCTCTTCAACTTTTCTGGGAGATGAAAAGATGCTCATTGAAGCCGGACGACATTACATTCATCGGAGTTCTGAACGCTTGTAGCCACGCAGGTTTGGTGAAGGAGGGCTTGATGTGCTTTGAGATCATGAGAAGAGACTATGCCTTAGAGCCAAAGGTGCAGCACTACGCATGCATGATCGACATCCTTGGCCGAGCAGGGCAGTTGGAAGAGGCTTTGAATCTGATTCGAAGTATGCCGATCGAGCCAAACGATGTGGTTTGGAGATCATTGCTTAGTGCTTGTAGGAACCACAGGAATGTTGGCATGGGCCAAAAGCTACTGAAAGGTTTAACCCAAGGGGGGGCTTGGGATTCTAGTACATGTGTTCTGCTCTCTAATCTCTATGCTGGTGTAGGGATGTGGGGAGATGTGAGGAAGGTGAGGACGATGATGAGGGAGAAGGACCTTAAAAAGGTTCCTGGATGCAGCTGGATCGAACTCGATGGTATCGTCCACGAGTTCGTCGTAGGGGATTACTCGTGCCCTCAAGCCAAAGAAGCAAGTTCTTCATCGGACTTGTTTTGTGCATCCAACTTGTATAGTTCAACAACGTCACTGGAATATACACGTTCATGAAGTTTATTTGTGTTAGTTCGATCCACAATGTTGGTTGATAAAGGTAAAAATGACGACATGATGCGCTATGACGTCAGCCATGCCTGGACGACACACAGCCCGAGGAAGTAGGCATTAACGCCGACTTGATGTGCGCCAACGTCAACCACTCCCGGACAGCGACTTCATCGTCTGACCCCACGCACTCGGCCGAGGCAGAGGAGGACATCGACCGAGGCTCGCCCATACCCCGTGGCAGTTCGGTTCTCCACGCAACACTAACGGCAATGTCAGACGCCATCAGAGGTACGATCCTGCTCCTGCAAGCAGGCACATCAGGTAACATCAAACTCACCTATAAATACCCCAGAGTTCTAAACGAACAGAAGGGGGGACGAACACAAAAAACCTTTCTTCATCCGAAATCTTCTCCACATCCACTAATTTGATCGTCGGAGGGGTTGGGTCGAGCTCTCCCGACCCGACCTGTGTGCAGGTATAAGGACGGGGTCGCTTTTTCCAAGCGCCGCGGCAGAGCCGCCCACCCCGAGACGAGACGTCCCGACCGGACCACCGTAACAGACCGTCGGGGCAATCCCGAAGAACGCCGTGCAAGATCCCCGTCATTCGTACCCCCAACCAAGCCGCGACGGCCCCGAGGCCACGGCATAAAGTTGTTTATACTAACATTGGTCAATAGGATTCTGAAGTATCTCTTTTTGCCTTGGAGATTGTGGTGACTGCTGCTGTTCAGGATCCGATTTGATTCCATTCGACTTAGGTTTCGAGTTATCGACCGAAGGCTCCCGATCGGGTACAGCCTAAGCATAGATCATCAAACCTTGAAATCCAGTTCGACCGACATCTGACCCGAATCCGTAAATTTCGGACTTGAACCCACAAACATTAATTGTCGGATTCGTACGAGATGGATCCGACCCGATAATCCCACAGCCTTTGTTGAGGCTTCGATTAGACTACTCCTTGCAACCGAATCGACTCGGCTCTGCCCTGCTTTAGGGTTTGAGATCGGTCCGACGCCCATGGAGACGCCGCAGAAGAGGAGACCCCGAGATGGGGTGGACGACGAAGATGCAGAGGCGATCAAGAAGCGGCGGCTCTCAGACGGAGAAGGCGAAGAAGACGACGGAAGCGGCTCTCTCCCAGGCCTCTCTGTCTATAAGGACGAGGATGACGAAGCTGAGGAGGCGATGGTCCGGAGAGAGCGGGGGAGTGACGGTTCGAATGGTATTGGTGAGGTCGGGAGTGCCCGCGGCGAGGCGGTAGAGAATGGCGGTCATAGAGTTGGAGGAGTAGGAGATGAGGAAGTGCAGGAGGTAGAGGATGAGGCCGCAGATCGACCTCCTGCTCCCGTGAGGCAGCAGCGGCAAGTGGAGCGCCGGAGGGACTGTCCCTATCTTGATACCGTTAATCGTCAGGTGATGTTTCTGTTTGCCTTTTCCATTTTTATTCGGTGCATAGAATTATACAGGTGTTAGATTAATTCCATGTTATGCAGTATATCTTTTTTGGCTCTCTATCAATAAGGTTATATGCACGAAAAAAAAGGGGAAAAAAATGTAATTTCCAATTACAGTATCTTGTGGCATTCTCTTTGTCCGCCCATTGCTTCCTTCCCGCTAGATAACTTATCTTGGCTTGGCCGGTGTGAGGGATAGAGGTGAGAAATGAGATCCTTGTTTCCATGAGGAATGTTGTTAGATTTTGAGAAAAGGAGGTCATCTTGTTTATGTCTGAATGGCTAATGCGACATAGCTCAGACAGATCAAGTTTAAGAAAGAGACAAGACAATATCTACATACAAAAAACAATGTAGTAAGGCACTCACAGTTTATCCTTGACATCTGAAGCAACTGGTAAGAGGGGTAGACTGTAGACACATATAAGAATGTAAACAAGAACATGAAATTGTAGAGAAAAAAAAAAATCAAGGGAGAGAATGATAAAATAACAAGGACCACAGCGAATAACATCCGTGGGTTTATGTCTTTGGCCTCTTTGTGATATGAAAATTACAGTAGTGACGCGGTCCTAGCCTCGATACTTCCATCTCTTCAACAACTTTGTTGGACCAGGAGGATGAAACC